CATCTTTTTTCTCCGTCCTCTACTTTCTACTCCTATGCATTGTCTCATACTTTACACACTGGTGGATGGCCGTGCCTGGTAGGTGCATTAGCTCGGTATTGATGTAGGAGTCGAGAGATAAAAAGTTCTTAGAGATGTGACCTTGGGCAAAATATGTGGTCTCTTCTTACCTTCCTGTCCTCGTCGTTTAAATGAGGATGCGACAACATGTCTCCTCAATTTAAATCACTGAAATTATTATGAAGCCCATGTGGGTGTATTTAAATATTACAAGAGTGGGGGTCTTTGGTATTTCCATTGATTGCCTTTAAGACAGTAAAGTTTACATTTTGTCATGTTGTCATGGTCGGACTGGTGACCCTTAAAATTCCATGAAGTTGAACTCCTTTTAATATGCAGATGGGTATGCTGTGGCTTTAAGCTAAGGGGAGAGGAAGGAGATTGGGCCTGAGGGATGATGTCTATAGGGTTGGATTTGTGGGAAGCTTCCAAACTTGAAACACACTCCCCAGTTGTAAAGGCAGGAACATCATGATGAGAGAAAGCAGGGTGTACTGTTGACATTCTTGAATGCAGTGGCCTGGCCCTCAGGGAGTGCTGGTCTGAGGTAGAGGAGAGCATAATAGGGGAGGCTAAGGGACTAGCGATACACGTATGAAGAGTTCACTGTGCTTTTACCACCCCGCCACACACACACATTTTCTTCATTATATTAGCCACATAATTGTAGAATGGGTTTTTCTTTTACGTGACAATATAAATTCCTTCCTCCAACACAAAATAAAAATAAGTTTTGAGTGTTATCTTGTGGACAGACTTACCACTACCCTTTTAAAGTTATCTGAGCCCTCTCCTCTTCCCCATCTCTACCACGCCTACCACCCTATCTGAGTAATTTCATTAGTGCTCTGAAGAAGAAAGGAAGGGGTTTGGATTCCTAGGAATGCCAGTAGTATTGATGAGGGAGAAGTTAAATTGATCAGTACTGAACTTTAAACCTTAATCAAAGTAATTTAGTCATAATCTGCACCTCTGACTCAGACTGGCCTCTCTTTGTATTTTATTCCCCCAAGAGGCTTTACACGGTAGGGAAATTTAATTATGTACTTAAATTATACAGTGAAGTTGCCACCAGAAATGAATAGGAGTAAGAAACCAGGACCACAGCTGTATCTTTGAGATGGGCTCCTCTTTAGGACGCTTGGGTGATGAGAGCAAGGCATGAATCCTGGGACAGCCCAGACTCTGCCACTGATGGACGCTACCGCGCATAGCGTTGGATTGGACGAGGTCTGCGAGATTCTCCTAGTCATGGATAGACAGATGGAGGGAGCCTTGAGACACTCCTATTCCAAGCCCAGAGGAAGCCTAAAGACCCTGAAGAAAAAGCACTTTTCCCAGGTCTTCGGGCTTGGGGGTGGCCCTGAGATGAGAAGTCAGGACCCCAGGTCTCTGGACTCAAGTCAGAAGCCAGAGAGTGTCATATTCAAGTTGTACGAGAGTCCAGATTGCTGCCATTCATTAGCTGTGTGGCAGGGGCCAGTTTCCTCGTTTACTGAACTATGCTATTTCTCTGAGCTAGCTTCTCGTTTGTGAATCTATGCTATTTCATGGACCCATTCATTAAGTTTAAGCATCTGAAGTTTCTCTTCTTATTAAAAAGTTCCCTATATAACATGTTCCCATATTACCATTCCACTTATATGCCCATACTTTTCCATTTTCCTTCTCATATGTTTTATACTTTAAGAAGGTTTTAGTAGTTTCCTTTAACAAAAAATGAGGAGCATTTTTATGGGACTATATACAAGAAATTACAGCATTCTATGAGATTCCCAGATGAAAACGATCATATATGCGGAAAGCAGTATAATGGGATAATGTATATTAAAATATAAAACATGAAAAGTAGAACTACCAGGCAAAGTATTTGTATCTTCATTGTTCAGAGTTATGGTATATTACCATAATAGCTATTGAAGCCCATTTCAAGGTAAACCATAACAGGAAGTAAGCAATTTCCTTTTATTCACTAAAAAATAAAGGGGTGTATTAGTTTGCTGACATACATGAAATAACATTGTAACTTGTAGTACCCCTGAATTGACGTCAGCTTCCTAAATATAAAATGCTGACTGAACGTGTGTGTGTTGGGTGGGGGAGTGGAATGCCAAAAAAATGTTATTTCCGCCTGCTTTGTTATTCACAAAGAATAAATAATAACATTTGGCTCTCTAGTGAATTCAAGGCTATAATTCACTCGCGAGGCTTCCCTGTTGTGTTAGAAACCACTTGAACTCTGTTCGCTTAGTCCCAACTTGTATCTGCGAAATGGTTTGAGTGATCCCCTGCTTATCACTCCAAAGTAGCCCTTTCATCACTGCCCGTTTTTAGCCCTAATTCATTTATCAGAATGCCCTGTTGGTTTGTTTTTTTTTAATTTTTATTAAAGTATAGTTGGAATATAATGTTGTATTAGTTTTAAGTGTACAGCATAGTGACTTGACATTTATATACCAATAAGTCTATTCACTATCACCGTGCAAGTTATTACGACATTACTGACTGTATTCCCTGTGTTGTACATCGTGCCCCTATGGCTTATTTGTTTTTAACTGGAAATGTATACCTCTTATTCTCTTTCGCCTTTTTCACCCACCTCTCCACCCGCTTCCCCTTCGGCAATTATCAGTTTGTTCTCTGTAGTTTGAGTCTGTTTCTCTCTCTTTTTTTTTTTTTTTTTTAAATTCCACATATACATAAAACCATAATGATGTTTGTCTTTCTCTGACTTCTGCCCTGAATTCTTGCCTACACTTTTAAGATTTCTTTATGTAAGCTCACCTCAGACACTGATTACTCTCTAATTTTTATTTATACAATAATTGACTATTAATAGATTCCCTTGAAATTGTGTCACAGTTCATTGAGATCTTTTTTGAGCACTTGCTACATGCTGATTGGAGGTGCTGGGGATACAGGAGTGAAGAAGAGCTAGACCCAGCCTTCATGGCCTTGACAGTCTAGAGATTTAGTGAGAGGTGACAGTAGGTAACTAAGAATGAAACTAATGTGGTTTTCTTTCTTTCTTTCTTTCTTTTTTGTATTTCTCCTCTAACCTCTGATTTCACTGTGGAAAGAGCCCTGCTATGGGTGACTGGGCCCCTCAGTCTAACTCCATCCCTGCTACGAAGTAGTGGGTGGTAAGCAAATTGCTTAGGGTGTCTCTCATTCTGTATTTTGTGAGGTTAACGGCAGGAAAGTTTTTGTGTATATAGGTGTGCGCCCCCAGATAATATAATATGTAACGATTGCTCTCACTAGTGGTTTTTAGTGATCTTGCTGCGATCATCAATCCCCATCAGAATTTGGAAAACAGCTTATTTACTTTTTTTGGCTCTTATCCAAGATGCAGTCATACCCACCCCCTGAGGCGTTTCCCTGGTGGGGATGCCAAGACATTTTGGAGCATGGGCAGTGGAATATGCTTTGCTGAAACTGAAGAACTGGAATTTGCATACGTAGTCTGTGGTGGGCCCCAATCCTGTAGTCATGGATGACTTCTTTGGGGAATGTTAGACTGCAGAGAGGCCTAGACAAATCTCAGTTGTCCAAGTTGTCTTTAAAATAGCTGGCAAGAGGACCACATCTTAAACGGATCCTTCTGCTCACTTCTAGTACAGTGATGGTGGTGGAGAAACTAATGCTAGAAAAGAGTGGCTAAAGAAAAAACACTAGTTCAAAAAGATGTATGTACCCCTATGCTTGTTTATTTACAGTATTATTTACAATAGCCAGGACATGGTAACAACCTAAGTACCCACTGATAGTTAAATGGATAAAGAAGATGTGAGAGAGAGAGAGAGAGAGAGAGAGAGAGAGAGTGTGTGTGTGTGTGTGTGTGTGTAAAGGAATACTACTCAGCCATTAAAAGGAAGGAAATCTTGCCATTTGCGACAAAGTAGATGTACCTTGAGGGTAGTGTTATGCCAGATGGAAAAAGACAAATACCGTGATTTCACTTTTATGTGAAATCTTAAAAAATGAACAAAGATAATGAGCAAAAATAAAGTTATAGATACAGACAACAGATTGGTGGTTACCAGAAGGAAAGGGGGTAAAGGGGAGTACGAAATGGATAAAGGGGGTCAAATATGGTGATGGATGATTTCTAGACTTACATTGGTAAACCCTATGTAGTATATACAAATATCTATAATGTTAAACCCCTGAAATATATGTATAATCTATATACCAATTTCATCACAATAATCATAAAAAAGATGGCTGCTTATTGTGCCAAGCACAAAGCTATGTTTTTAACATGTACCGTTGCATTTTACTCTCAGCTAGTAATTATATAATATGGATATTTGAACCCATATTTGTCTGACTCCCATAATGTCTCCTATTCCCATGATCTGGAATTCTCTTTCATTATCAATTTATGAAATTGTACTTTTTCTCCCTTTTTAACAGTCTAGAATTCTCAATGAAGTTCTGAATTTCCATTTAACTTATGAAAATGGGTCTTGGTTGGATCCTTTTTTAGGGGTTTTATATTTTAATGGCTTTGGGGGTTAATGACTTGTAAGGTGCCCAAGCCAGTAAGTAATGGAGAGCATCTGTTGACTTCAGTAATAAATTTCAAACTTGTTTAGAATTCTGCTTATGTGTTAAATTTTAGTTTCTCCAGTGAGTCTTTTCTGTATCTTAGATGATTTATATCTTTCTGGGGAATCATTTAGAGTGTTTTTTTTTTTTTCTTCTAAACAAGTGGTCTCCATAAAGACTAGGGCAGCTGGATATATATCACACTCAAACATCTGGACCAGACAGGGCAGTTCTGTTTGATGTTTGTTATAGAAATGGCACCATCAAATACAACTGTTTTATTCTGATTTTAACATCATGTTTAAAACATTCCTTTCTCTTTTCTTCTTTTCAACTCAGTGTCGTTGTACCGACTGGCGGAGACGAGAGAAGTAGATGTCCACGCCCACAGACCCTGGTGCGATGCCCCACCCAGGGCCTTCGCCAGGGCCCGGACCCTCTCCTGGACCAATTCTCGGACCTAGTCCAGGACCCGGACCATCCCCAGGTTCCGTCCACAGTATGATGGGGCCAAGTCCTGGACCCCCGAGTGTCTCGCACCCTATGCCTGCAATGGGGTCTGCCGACTTCCCGCAGGAAGGCATGCATCAGATGCATAAGGTGAGATTTTATTCTCCTGCTCAGCCTTGTCTTCTGAGTCGTGGATGGCTAATAGCTCTGATAACCTCTGCCCCTCTCTTTACTACTATTTTTAACGAGAGAAGCTAAGTCTTTGTCCTATCTTGAATGTTATGAAAAACAGACATTCTGAAGCTCTTTTATTGTTATAGATGTTGTACTACTCAGAAAGAGCAGATCTTGGCTTTTTAAAAATATCGGATAGAATATGCAGTTCTGACAGTTAAATTCTGTGATTTGTGGGTTGCAGGTATTTTGGCTTGAGGAATAAGTATATAAATGCATGTCTTGATTTTTTTTTCTGACTATATGTGTTAAATAACTTATGTCATCTACAAATGGACATATTGTTAATTATTCTTCCTTAAAATGTTGGTATTTATTTTAAAAGTAAAATCCCAAAGAGTAAAAGGAAAATGAGTACCTTTCTAAAGATTTTAAAATAGTTTCTAGGGAATCCCTAAAATGCCCTTTGCTGACTCTGTGAAGCGGCCTTATTCTAGTTTTGGAAGACGGATCTGATTTTTAGTAGAGCTCAGGTCCAGTTGTTTGTTTCTGGTCTAAGGTTATAATAATCTTCTGTTTATGAGACTCTGATTGTTGCTGTGGGGATGACCATATTGGTACAATTTTGGCATTACGCCTTCGCAGGATGTACAAAGAAGAGAGAACAGGCTTTTGAGAAAGTAAACAAGAACCTCTGTGACAGTTTGCCTTGAATGTTAGCAAAAGCTAGAGAAGCTCTCTGAGGCCATTGTATATTACCTAAAGGTTGTGCCTGATGAGACAAGTAGAGGTTTTATATTCCTTTTAGACAACGTTGCAGGTGGACAGATGCCTCTCCATGTTAAAATAGGCAAGCCGTGGAAGATACTGGTTTAAAACAGAAAGATTACTGCAAAAAAGAGCAAGTTTCCCCTCTAATTGTACAGGACTGTAGGTGAATTTTAAGGTAAGGTGTTTGAACTTGGAAGAGAAGATCTCCTTTTTTATAAATTTTATTTGATGATTTTCAAATCAGGAAAGTAATAAATGCTTATTTTGAAAAGTAAAACCATACTGAGATAAATAAAGGAAATGGTTAATCCTGGCTTCACCCCAGGTAACAGCTTACTTTACATGCTTTTCACACCTTACTTTTCTCCAGGTTCAATAAAAATACCATATAAGCACACGGATACATATACAGGTGTGAGTTTTAAATAACTTTTCTTTTACCATTATAAAATCATATCATATTAATTACTCTGAAACTTTTTGTTTTCATTTAAAAATATATCACGGATATTTTTATAATATCCCAAGTTTTCTCTCTCCTTTTTTTTTAAACACATTTTTAGCTTGTCAGGTAACTGAAGAAATAAAGCTGCTTATTTTCCATATCACATTTTTTAGCAGACATATTGAATACATAGACATATTGAAGTCATTAAATTGTCTTGTGATCATATTTAATTAATTTAGGAACTGTATTATAGATCTGATCTATCATTTGTAAACCTTAAACCAGGTGGGTTGGATAATTTCAGAATGGGTTAAGGGTGTCTCACCTCCGAAATGGAAGATAAAATTTAAAGAAATATTTAGCTAAGCTTTATTGTTGTTTAAGCATTTCACAGTTAAATGTATGAGCAGTGTTGGGTCAGTGTTACGTTTTTGGCCCTGGATTGTTTTAATTAATTATCTCTTCTGGTCCTTTCTGTTTTGTTACCTAGCATCTTTGTCACATTTTCTCATATTCTCTACCCCCATTGATGTTCTTTTTGTTTTTCGTTTTGCTCTCATTCTTGCAAGTATTGCATTTTTTGCCACCCTGGTTTTCCTTAACTCCCAGCTCCTCAGATAATTCCCTGCGTGAGGACATGGTTAAGTGCCTAAGTTCACACCTGCTGACCAGATGCCTTCACTTTCTTAGATTCTTTTATATAAGCAGCTTTATTCCTTCTCTTTCTCCTCATTCTTACTCTGAGCTTCAGCATTTTGCTTTTCCCCATTCCTGGAAATAAACAAGTGGCATAAATACATCTGCTGTGTTGCTTTGATTTCCTCTCTATTATTACTATTTAACAGACTCAGAGACACTCTTTATTCCAAATTCTTCCCATTTTCCTTCTTAACATCCTCTATATAGTAAATTTTTCCTCTTTTCAAGTGTATGCCTTTGACTCTGCAGAAATTAACTTTCCTTTATCTAAAACTGCAAACACTCAGACTTTCTTGCTCGGAGTCATTTGGTTTCTATAAAACTCCTGGAAATATTCCTTTCAGGCTGTTTTGAAAATTGCTATTCTAGTTTGTGGAGGAATAGACTTTTCCTTTTTCAAACACATGCTCTATTGCCCAATTCTGGATTAGATTAACATCAGTTCAATAGCTATTTATTGTGTGTCTGTTATGTACTTGGCCTCAAGTCCTGTTTCCAGACCCTATGTTCTTAATCTTTTTCCAGACCTGTACCTTTAACCTTTTTTGGACTTGCTCCCTCTGTAGTATTGCTTCATCTACTTCACCCTTCTTCCCTTTCAGTATTCACCCCCATTCACTGCCCTGCCCTGTCTGTTTCTCTTTTCCCAACTGCCATGGAACTTTCTGGTTTCAACTTTTAAACTTTCCATGGTTCCTTTCCCTCTGATGACAAAAAAATTACCAAAAAATAGATCATCGCAGACATTTCAAATAGTCGTCCTTCAGACTTTGGACTAACTTCAACATATAACAAGTTTCAGGATTTACTTAAAATGGTATGGCAGAATAGCTTATATTTGTATACCTTGTGAATAGGACTTTACTTTTATTTTCAGGTTTTGACTTTACAAAAAAACTCAACTGTTTAAAGCCTTAACTTTTACAGATAGTTTTGCTGATCCTGTTGGTGTAGTCTTTTAAAATTTTTTTCCCCCGCCTATAATAATATGTAATATATAATAATATAAGTAATATGAGTTTAAAATATGTGACTGTTGTATGAGTAATAGATGATTGTGCCACAATTTTGAAGACTTTAAAGAGGGGTCTTAAAACTCCAAATAGAAATGTTTTACCTTAAAGAGGTATCTAACTCATGTCTTTTCAGCCCGTTGATGGTATGCACGATAAGGGGATTGTAGAAGATATTCATTGTGGATCCATGAAGGGCACTGGTATGCGGCCACCACACCCAGGAATGGGCCCTCCCCAGAGTCCGATGGATCAACACAGCCAAGGTCTGTAATTCTAATTACCTGATTGTGGCTCCATATTGTAGTCTTTCATCTTTTGTATTGGTTATTTTAATTATGACTTCCAAAGAACATTTCTAAGGAAGATTGAATGTAGCAGGTTTCTTTTCCCTAGAGAAATCTCCCCAAGTCCTGACCAACTTTATGATTTATATGGTCAGTTTGATTAACAAAATCCTAGTAATTTTACTAGCTTCTGTGACTCCAAGCACTCTGCAAAGTGCTTCATGTACTTGATGTGGAATCTTTATCGTGATCTTTTAAGGAAAATTATATGACCCCAGTTTTATAGATAGAGGTGCTAACGCTCAGAGAATTTACTTTGTTTTCCTAAGTTTACACAACCTGTGAGTGACAGTGCCAGAAGAATCCCGGTCCGCCCCCCAGCAACAGTGTAAATGTGAAGGTTAGATGAGCCACTTGTGTCCCTTGAATTGCATGCTCATACGTTGTCTGGAAGTGGTTTTTATGGCAGTGGAATTACCTGTCATTGCTGGTGGGTGGCTGTGTTAGTCTTCTAGAGTTGCTGTAACAAATTACTACAAACTGGGTGGCTTAAAGCAGTAGAAAATTATTCTCTCACAGTTCTGGAGTTAGAAGTCTGAAATCAAGGTATGATCAGGGCCATGCTCTCTGAAGGCTCTGGGGAAGAATTCTTTGCCTTGTCCGAGCTTCTGGTGATTGCTTGCAATGCATGGAATTCCTTGGCTTGTAGATCTATCACTCCTATCTCTGTGTTGGTTTCACATGACATTTTTTCTGTGTGTCTGTGTCTCTGTCCAGATTTCCGTCTTATAAGGATACCAGTCATTGGCTTAGGGTCTACCCTAATGCACTATGACCTCATCTTACTTGATTACATCTGCAAAGATCCTATGTCCAAATAAGGTCACATTCACAGGTACTAGGGGTTAAAGCTTCAACATATCTTTGTAGAGACACAAGTCAACCCATAATAATGGCCAAATCAATGTATGGTATATTTCAGTTCTCCTTGGTGCCTTCTTCCTTAACTGTTGGAGACATATTAAAGATACCTCAAAGTCTTTTGAATACACTCTAACTTGTTTTCAGAATCATTATATGGTCATTTTAATATGCAAGGGGCATGCATTATTCTGTACTAATTAACCCCAATATGTTGATATTCTAATTCAGTTTATAGTTTATGCATTGCCGTGTATACTCCTTTGTACTTTAATGTATGTGTGTTTCATGATCAGATATCCATCCACCCGAAAGAAGATTTTTGGCTCTGAGAATTTAGAGAAATATATTCAGTTTTAAAATATAAATAAGCAAGTCATGGAGGCTAGGAGTACATGTTCACTGATATTCAAACAAGTTTTGAATATCCCACACTCTGATCTGAATTTTGATGACAAGTAGGTATCACTGTTGCAGATGATTCATAAAATCTTGACCCTGTCAGAAAAGCACACTGAAATCTTGGGACTTTTTTGCAGTCCGGGAAGAAAAAATTTGACCCATTCATTGTTAAGAAGGAATTAAGACGACACTTCCAAGTTTACCATTTAAATTCTAAGGAGCCAGATATGTTCACAGAGCTACTGTAGGTCTCATTTTTAATATCTGGGAAGTGTAAATGAGTTCTATACAGTGATTTGCAAAGCCAGGTGCTTGCTCTATCTGTTCCTGGCTTTGCCGTACCTCTAATAAGCTGGGCCATAGGAAAACTCTAAAACAAAACACCTTTAAATGTGTGAATTATAATTGAACATTTTTTCTTTTATGTATCTTTGACTTTCTCTCATTGCTTGGTTCCTTTCTTCAATTTAAGAATGATGATTTTTCTTGGTATCTCTAGCACTTGGCACAATGTCTAGTGCATAACCGGATAGATACTTAGTAAATTTTGTTCAGTTAAGTAGAGAAATAAACCTGTGCATTCAAAAGTCAACAGTTTTAAATAGATCTTAATTTTTATATAATTTCAGTAAATTATAATTACTTTGAAATGCAGAGGTCTGCATTAAATGGAATCAGAATTAGCATGTAATAGTTTCTCTAAAATAGCAAAGTGCATTGTAGGCTGGGGAACGACTTCTTTAAAAGTATATTTTTGACTAAGTAGTATTGGTATATTGCAGTCTTATTCTACATAATGATTTAAAAAGAATTTAGACTCTGTAATAACATGTATCTTTAAAAACCCTATTGTAGAAAACCATTTATAAACACAAGTACAGAGAGGTGTGGTATTGATTGGAAAGCTGCCAGCTTTAACTACCTAGCAACCTATTAGGTTATTTTAAGGTATTGGTTGAGAAACAAAACCATTTCCTTCAATAAATACTGAATTGTGTATCTTATGGTCTCAATGATAACATTGTTTATTTTTAGTAGTTGGGTAAAAAAAAAAAACCTTCAAAGGCTAGTATATACCATTTAATATTTGTGTGTGTGTATGTGTGTGTGAAGAGAAAATTTATATAAAATTGGCACTTGGTTCAATATTATTAAAAGGAGAGAGAGAGGCGATTGCTTCCCTCTGAGGCAAGGTGAAACTGGGGAGATAATGGCCCTTGAAGACTAGGAAAGGAAAACTGCCACTTTTGACTACTTTTGAATGAGCAAATCAAACCAGAGTTTTTAAAAAGCAAATTCTGCATCAACACTGTCATCCTACAGACAAATGTATATTCACTTTTAGGCAATTTCTATTCTCTGTTTTCTCAACTAAAGATAATTACTAAAATATGTTGTTTCATCATTTAGATTGTTTTTTCCTGAAGTTTTATGGAATGCTAGTCATCTAGAAAAAAAAAATCTCTCTTTAGCTGAAGCACGCATCTTTAATATCATACTGTGATGGAATGATTCTATTAACATCCCCTATAAGTTCTAGGAAACGATTTTTCCCACCTTCGGTTTTTTACATTTGAGGTAAAATTTTGTTTATTGATTAATTCTGGGAAATAATTTTATTCCACTCTCAGTTTCTTTCTTAGCAAATTTGAGGTAAAGTTAATTATTGTGCTTAATGTGACTGCCTCACCTTCATAGCTTTGCCTTGTCTCATAGTTCATAGTTTATAAGAGTGATTTGATAAACAGTGTTATATAGTTGAGATTGTCTAATGTGTTGGTCTACTGTATTAGGCATCCTATGATTTATCATGGGTAAGCTATAATGGATCACGTTAGGAAAGAGGAGAGACCAGAAGGCAGGAGTCATGACCCATATTAACACCTGGTTGTATCCCTTCTACTATGAAAATGTCATTAGCTTTGGTAGGAAGTTTTTCTTTCTGTTATAGGTACAGATTTGGCCAAAAAGGTGTCAGAAACGTGCTTTCATAATGAATAAAATGCCATTTTGCACAAGCATTACAGTTAAAATGTGTACCTCATTAAAAAGGAAAAGGAAGAAGGTTAATGACATAGGTAGATAGATGTATGTTATTTATATTCTCTAAGTGTTTATTTTTATAACGATATACTGGGATTAAATTTCTGCTAGTCTTGCAAGCTGATTTTAGGGTCATTTTCTTGGCTAATCATACGACCAACTAGAACTCTAATTGCTGCATGGTTTTTATGCTCTGTTGTGGAGTAGGGATTTAGAGAGTGAAAAGTAGTTCTATTTCTCTTCAGGACAGGATTTTTCTGAATGGAGTTCTACTTCTCACCCACCGACTGATAGAACAAAACATACTCTTGTATTAGGGGATCAAGCTAAATTTGTTTCCCTTTCCAAAAGGCAATTCGAGATAAAAGTAACTATATTTTTTTTATTTTCTGTAGTCTTGTGAATGACGATGGTGAGGCCCCTGTCAGTGGCAGTCGCATAGTCTCGGGTCACTGTGATTGCACATAGGTTCACAGAGCTGTTTCAGCTCAAACTTGACATAAGTTCAAACATAGCAGATGTCTAAATAACACCTATGTGATGACCTTTATGTTAATTGTGATGGAAGTACATTTATTAAAGGGCAAGACTTTTAATCTAATATTTTATATTGTGTCTGAGGACACCTTTGACTTCATTAATTAGCACTTAGTTTGAATTCAAGGCAACCTTTTGGATTGCAGTAGGCCCCTTTGTTCTCTCCTTTATCTTGGATCTCCCTCCAACAATACCGTCACACATTTTTCTAGGAATTCCAGTGCTATACAGTTTGTCTAAAATAAGTTCCATGAAATTTTTGTGCATTTTGACTTTTCTTCCCCAAGAAAGGTATTCTTGAATTTCCCATTTAGATCTCTTATAACCCAAACAGATTGTACTCATTTTTATGTCAAATCATAATTTTCTAGAAGATTTTTGAAACTTCTAAGTCTTTAATTTAAAACCGAAATTAATATTTTTAAAAACCAGATTAATATTAGACCATGGAAGGAATATACTCATTGGAATCAGGCAAACTGTGGTTTGAGTCTAGGAGCTGCCAAGGGCTAATGGTGTGACCTTGATGACTCACTTACCGTAACTCAGCCTCAGTTTTCTCATTTAAAAAAATGAGGTGACAATATATGTGTTTTGTGTTGTTGTGAGGATTAAGGAAATAATGAATACTCCATTCATATCCCTTTAATCCTCCTTACCATTTCTTTTTTCCCACCAGCCTGATGTCCACTGGCCAGATCACCATCTTGCCTTTAATCTACTTATGTCTACCTTACCCACATGTGGACAAGTCCCTGGGGATTAATTATCTCCAGAGTCTTAACCAGTGACATAAACAGTGACTGATGATCCTTAGAGTATAAATACTCAGCTTTTTCACCCCTTCCCTGGGATAATTTGGAGGCAAGTTATTTGCCTTATATCTCGGAGCATCTGCATGAAATTAATCTTCAGGCATCCACTGCAGCAGCTGGATTAATAGCGCATCCCTTACTGGCTGCCTTCCCTTCCTTATATCACCTTTCCATACCCCTGCCAGTGTACCTGCACCATCTGTATAAATCGCTTGCACTCAATCCCTCCATCAGGCTCTGTTTCCAGGGAGAATTCCACTAAGATAGTATGTACAGTACCTTGCATATTGCCTAGAAAGTGGAGGCCCTCAATAACTGCAAATTATTCATAATGTGCATAATAGTAAACCAAGTAATATTTGTTATCCCCATAAGAGACTCTTCGTTCCACATTATGATATAGTAGAACACCTTCAGGTTTTGTTCTCTAGATTGGAGCTTCTTTCAATCTGTAACACCCCTGGTGCTTTTCCTTTAGGTATACAACAGACAAACAATTTACCTTCTAGGACACATATGGCTATTGATCGCTTGAAATGTAGCTAGTTTGAGTTGAGACATGCTGTAGCTTTGTACAAAAAAAGTGTAAAATATCTCTTTAATAATTTTTATGCTTTGAAATGATAATATTTTGGCTATGTTGATTTAAATGAAATACATTATTGACGTTAGTTTTGTCTGTTTCTTTTTAATGCAACTACTAGGAAGTTTTAAATTATATATATTTGATATATGTAAATTTTAAATTATATATTATTTTTAAATTATATATATTTTAATTTTCTAGCAAACAGTGCTGTTATAGAAAATTACCAGAATATCTAGGAATGCCTCTCTTTTAGGGTCATCAGGGACAGCTTGTGATCTCCTTTTATATTCTCTTCTAGGTTATATGTCGCCACACCCATCTCCGTTGGGAGCTGCAGAGCATATCTCCAGCCCTATGTCGTCGGGAGGTGGCCCGACCCCACCCCAGATGCCACCCAACCAGCCAGGGCCTCTCATCCCAGGAGATCCACAGGCAATGAACCAGCCCAACAGAGGTCCCTCGCCTTTTAGTCCTGTCCAGCTGCATCAGCTTCGAGCTCAGATTTTAGCTTACAAAATGCTGGCCCGGGGCCAGCACCTCCCTGAAACACTGCAGCTTGCAGTCCAGGGGAAAAGGACGTTGCCTGGCATGCAGCAGCAGCAGCAGCCACAGCCGCAGCAGCCCCAGCCCCAGCCACAACAGCCGCAGCAGCAGCAGGCCCTTGTTAACTTCAGCAGACCATCTGGTAGGTTAATATGCAAACAAATGAATAATGTGATGGTCCCACTCGGATGAGAAAGACTGCTAACTGCACAGAAGCGCTGGGTTGGTATAAGCCCAGGGCTGACTTAGCCTTTTTTGTACCTCGCTGGCTCCCTTGTCTTGCTTTACTTAGTTGGCCAAGATTCTTGGTCTTTTTTGCTGTAGAGTCCTGGAGCAGGGCTTCTTAAGCTTTGGGGACTCTGGTACAAGCTGTGGACCTAGGAAAAAAGCACCACCCTCCATGATTTTGCATTTTCTTTCAAGAGTTTCCAGGTCTATGGGAAGCCCATGTACACACCGTGGATTAAGGGCTCCTACACCCAGTACATTCCTCGAATCGGCTCTCTTCTGAGCCATTTTGTGTTTGTTGATTTATTTATTTCTACCCTTTTTTGTTGTTGTTGTGAAAAGCATTTGGGGAGGCTTCCAAGAAACATACCTGCAGTGAAATAATTATCAAGTAGAAAATCAGAAACAAAGGGAAATCGAAATCGAGATCAGGCACCTGAGGGCCTCCAGAGTTCTTATGGTTGCTGCATCTGAGTTTGCAAGATGACTCAGATCTCCTGGCAGTCAGGAAAGGAGACGGGGTCAGGTGCCTAATTCTCATCCTTCACAAGGAAGTTGGTTACCAGTTCACAGAGGATACAGACCCTTTTCTAGCATGAGAATATAAAGTAGATTTCCCAGGTGGAATTATTTTTTAAATTATTGTACGAGGCACTGCATGATACAGGCATCGATAACATTTGTTCGTAATAAACAGAGTAACAGAATCCACATGGCCTACTTCTTACATACCCTGGCATCAAATCTGAAGCTATGACATTATGTCATCGGTGGAGATGAGATAGTCCTTGCATGGCCTTCTAGTGGGCTGGCGTGATCCCATCGATAGAATTCAAAGTTGCAGGAGGCTATAGGATGACCTTCCATGAATGTTTTCTCTGGGAAGGTTAAAGGATAAAGTTTCAGTTGTCTGGACACTTTTACATAACAAATGTGTCATGTTCTTATAAACACAATCTTATGTGTTTTCTGGATCATTTTCAGAAAAGACGGCTCCTTTTTTTTTTTTTTCACCCAGCTCTGACGCCTACATCTTCCCTAACCAAGGCCCTGTCATTTGATGGAATTTATTTTATTCCTGGCTACTTGTGTCTTTTATATTTCCAGGAGTCAGGCTTCATTAGAAAGGAAAATATTTAGGCAGATTGTGTTTTATGACAGAGTGGGCAAAGAGGCCGTGGATGGAGGAGGAAAGAAGATGCCTCCTTCAAATAGAGCAGACCCATTCCTGCCCCTGGGGAAGGAGGCTGCATCTGACAGCATTGCTGAACTTTTCCCCATATCTCAGGTTTCATAGGGAGAAGGTTATCATCTCCCTATGATAACTTGACAAAGACATTTTTTTGGATTGGCCTTGAAGACAAGTCAAAAGAAGGGGAAAAAATATTTTTTTAAATTACTTTTTATTAATTGTTATTGTTTCTCTGCCCCCCTCCTTTAAATAAAAAGTATAATTGTTTACAGATACATCTACTAATATTTTAGGAAAAAATAAGTTTAAGTATGTCCACTTATCAGGAGGTAGCTGTGATTTCGTTTTTCTTTTGTCCCGTTTTCTAGTGTTACTCGTATGTGAAGAGAATCTTTTTGGCTGGGGTGGTCTGCCTCAAACTGACTCCAAAGTTATAAATCACCAAAATTGACATCATCATAGCTACCACCAGAGAATTACAGTTGGACTGGAAGAATTGCTCAATGAACAAATAACTCTTCAGTCCTTGCCTGCTATAGGCTCCACTCAAATCTAACTCATCATTTTTCTTTTCATTTTGATTCATTTTTCTTTTTAGAAACTAAAGCAAAATTAAAAATAGGAACTGAATAAGGTTCGGTATTTTTGGAGGCAGCGGGCAGAAGGACCTCATGGTAGAAAGTAAAAGTTTTATTGCTAATTTTTTTTCAATGCTTGTCCCTCTCCTGCTTCTCCCATCACATTTTAGTTATCTCAAGTTTCTTGATATGTTCAATTAAATACACTTTATTTTTTCAAACTGTGGAAACCACTTCAATCCTTATTTAATGCACAGAATGGTTATTTGCATAAATATGCTTTTGTCCTAGAAGACAAATCGAATGCTCAGAAATTCTGTACATGTGAGAATTAGGTATTTTAATGAGTTTATTTCCCTGTTCCTTAAAATCAGGCATAGCATTGCATCCAGTTAAGACTCCTTCCCCCCTTAGCTGCCCTGGGATGCCCCTCAGGAGTGTCAGGGGATACCTCTACCTTGACTTCTAAGGTGAGGACTGAAGGGAAAGCAGACACATTTTGTACCTCTGACAATTGTTTATGTTGGAGAGGGAGTAGGAGATAAGCTAAAGAATGTAATTTGTCTTCCATTTGAAGATTCCAGGGAGAGGTCTTATCATTTAGCAGGCCCATGAGTATCTGTTGTAGAGATGATTTCTGTCAATAGAGAGCAAATCCAGTCAGGCAACTCAACTCCATAAGCCGCCTGAGGGACAGGCGTAAAACCTAATGAATAGATAGTGACATTCTGGGCATGCTTAATTGCAGCAAGCTGCACTCAGTTTCCCAGCTTCTGTAAATAGAAGTTTTTATATAATCTGTTGGAAGGAGTAGAAAATAGACCTATGCAGTAAATGAACTTGTGGTGTTCGGTTAGGAAAAGAGTTTGCTTGTGACTCTGACAGCAGATTTACAGGAAGCACATGGCAAGCCAACTTATCTGAGTATTTGTGCTGAGTTGTATTAAACTGTAGAAACATTTTGAAGTTTGCTGTACAAAAGAGTACTCCCAAAATTTCCAGCTAATACAGTGCCAAATTTCCTAACAGCTGTTCTTTTGCCATGGAGTCTTTCATAAAGCCGAGTAATTAAATTAGATTTCCCTTCATTCACATCCTGGGTGGCAGTAAAAACGATGAGAGCATATAGTCACATTGTCTCATTGAATCCTCACTATCACCCTGTGAGGTGGATACTATTATTAGCACCATTCTACAGATGAGGAAAGTGAGGCACAAGGGGTAAATTAACTTGCTCAGGCTCGCATGACCAGTAGTGATAGAGCTGAGGTGAACTTTATCAGTTATTTTGGGGCAGGGTACTTTTAAGTGTACCTGTTTAATTCACAACAAGATGTAGTACTTTTTAAATTGGAGATTTGAATGTATAAGGCCACGTTTGGATCTCTCTCTGCTTCTCGATTTTAAAGATCAGTCAACCAGATAAGAATGCCTTTATATTTATCAACTAAAGAAGGCCAGCTATGTATGTATCAGCTCTAGGAGTCATAGGCTAAAAATGACTAGATTAGGAATGAAAGGTATCAACCATGCTCTGAATGCCCGCCCCCCCTTTGTAATTATTAAATGTGGTTTTAAAAGCAGTTACTTGAATATACCTCAAGGAGTCATCTTTGGCTTCTGCATAGGTATTTAGAGGCTGTAATGCTAAAGAAAGTGCCCAGAATAAATGAAATGCTAGTGCTATTGCACCGTTACAGCTTTTGTTGATGAACTATTTAAACTCTGAGAGGAGGAAAAACACTTTGAGAACTGAATTTAAGTAATTATTATATTATCTTCTCAGTAAGACCTGGCTTTTTTTTTTTTTTTTTTGTTAAAGGTGGTGCTTTTTTAGAGGGCTTAAATATATAAAGTTCATTATTTAGTATGCTTATACCAAGTCCTCAAATATATTTAATTCTACCACTTTCTTGATCTTATTAAGGAGATTCATAGAATCATAGAGAATTAAAATAAATGTTAGAAATCTCTATCTCCTCTTTTGGTTGGATCACACCTACAGCAACCCAAATGCAAAATATACCCTGTTTTAAAGACCTTTAGGGAAAATATATTCTAAAATTTCCTTCCATAACCCACTTCAATGCTTAACAACCCTGAAATTTAATGTTTAGAAATTTGTTTTTTATATATAGATGAAAGAAACTCTAAATATAAAATATTATGAAAACTTATGCATATGTAAAAGACCTCCCATTCAGAAAAAAAAAAAATCAGAAAGTACTTAGCTGAAAAGAATCTATATTTTGCTAGTATGTCTATAACGGTTAAAATAAAAAAATAAAAGATCAGTATATTTTTACCTCAAGAATTTTTCATCAGCCCCAGAACCAGGGCTACAGATCACCTCAAGAAATCTTATCTAGCTCTATATCTTTCGGAAAGTTTTACCTAATTTCAGAAGAAGGGGAGAAAAAAGAATAATAACACCCCACCCACCCACACACATACACACACCGTAGTTTCCTAGGCAATCTGTGCTAATTCTTCACATTCCTCCTGTCAAAATGTTTGCTTATAGCTATCTTTGCATTATCATTTAAGCTCATTCTAAGTGGTATTTACTGGAAATTGAATAAATGTTTAATTTTTCATACTGTATGTATGTCTTTGTACGGTTAATTATTAAGTCTCTCTGAAGTATATAGACTATTATTTTTGTTACCATTTAATAATTTTAATTTTTCTTGGAAAAGATATAGAAAATACTTGGAAAAATGCCTATAAGAGATTTTAACATCTGCTTACAAGATTTTTTTTTAAATTTACTAACTCATTTGGTAGCATTACTAATCTTATTTATAATTTTGAAGTAAATAAAAATTCATCTAGGAGGAGAGATGGAATACTTTCTTATTTTAGATCTATACCTACCAATCAATTTAAACTGAAGTTTAATGTGGACAATTGCTTTAAATTAACTCAGACACATTTTGATAAGCTTGATCATTTCATATACCTTTATTCTAATAACATGAGAAAAATACTCTCTTCAATTTTAATACCTACTAGTTTTTATTAGATAGAATGAACAGATTTTTTTCCCCCTTGTACTGAATGTTTTTAGAAATATTTTCTAATGTGTAGTAAAAATTTTAAGTTCTGAGATGTCGATTAAATCTGAAATATACTTTATAGGTCATTAAGGAAAAATTTGTGCCCCTTTGAGTTCACATCAGAGGACTGGCAAGCTGCTGGCCACATTGGAAAAGGATGGTTTAACTACAGGGCTCTCCCAGACTGGGGCTGAGGTCTGCCTAAAGGGGCTTGCCCTGTAGTTTGCAAAATGTGATTTTAAGACCACGCCCAAATTGCATCTGACTGTTAGGTGACTCCTTTACTTTTTTGAACTCTGAATGTACCTGTAATGCTTTTTAAAAACCCAGTGTAGACTTACATTAAAAGCTGGCAGTCCATTCCTTAAAATAAAATCAATTTATTACTTGAGTCATTTTTTAACCATTTTCACAAATGTTCATTAGTGGATGCTATTTTATAATAGATGTCAGATTCTTTCTTTTTTTTTTTTTTCTTTTCTTTTTTTTTTAATTTCTTTTCCTTCTCCCCACCTTTCCAATCTTCCCCTCCTTCCTTCTTCTTTTTTCTTCCCTCTTTTTTTTCTTCCCTTAAGACTTTGACTTATTTCCATCATTGGACCTCAGGGGGTTAATGAGCAGGCCTTGTGTGACCACAGGGTGATGACCCACCCAAGCTGCTCATGTTGCTCTTGTCCCACAGGTCCTGGGCCAGAGCTGAGCGGCCCAAGCACCCCGCAGAAGCTGCCTGTGCCCGCGCCCAGTGGCAGGCCCTCCCCAGCGCCTCCCGCAGCAGCTCAGCCTCCCGCAGCCGCAGTGCCCGGGCCCTCAGTGTCGCAGCCAGCCCCGGGGCAGCCCTCACCCGTCCTGCAGCTGCAGCAGAAGCAGAGCCGGATCAGCCCCATTCAGAAACCACAAGGCCTGGACCCTGTGGAGATTCTCCAGGAGCGGGAATATAGGTAATGCACCCCGCCCTGGGAGGGATCAAGCTTCTGTGTTCTTGCAAGTGCTATCTAGCCTAGTGGGTGCAGTGTCTCCTAGTGTTGTGGTCATTCCTTTCTATGGGACATGGGAAAGGCCTAAGGGAAATTGTACAGGTTAAAACTCATGTTGTGAGAATGATTTCAGAACAAAGTTGCTGAAGTTTGTTTCCCATTGGAGTTGGGGAGATGGGGGCCCTCTGATGGCTCCAGGTTGGTAGGACTGTGATTTTCATTCATCCAATCAGACAACATTTATCAACCCCTGTGACATGCTAGGCACTATGTTAAGTGGGCACTGGGGATGTAAAGATCAAAAGCCCAGCCTGCAGTTCCTACAATCCAAGAAAGTGGTCATCTCACACTTAGATTGTGCAGTGCCTTGTTCTAGTGTGTCAGTTTGTCCTTGAATGACAATTATAAGCTGGTCAGATGTTGAAGTGTTTTGTGCTCGTCTGACCTTCAGATTAATGACACATCTCATGATACTAAAACATACTTCAGTAGCTTGGTATGAAATATTTTTTGTTTTAATTCATGGTCTATGGCTTGGACCAACTTTAGGAGTAAGCCTTATATGCCTTCAGAGGGGGTCCTTATTTAAACTCTTCATCCAGAAACTTAATTTTCACCTGATTTGGCACATTTATCTAAATCAGGGGTTGGCAGACCTTTTCTGTAAAGGGCCAGATAGTAAATATTTTATGCTTTGTTGAGCCATATGGTCTCTTTCACAACTACTCAACTCTGCCCTTTGAGTGAGAAAGCAGCCATAGACAATATTGGGCTGTCTGTGTCTCAATAAAACTTTATTTCCAAAAATGGCCTGTGAGCGGGATTTGGCCCGTGTGCTCTAGTTACCAGACTCCTGATATACTTAATGTTAACCAAAAAGGGAGCTCAATAAGTATTGAGTCAAGATTAAAACAAAGCTAAAGATGATAGTTTCTGGAGTTAGCCAGAAAACATGTCCTGCCACTTACAGGCTGTGTTACCTTGATCAAGTTACATCTCTTCTCTGTGACTCAGTTTCCTCATTTGTTAAAAGAGGGTATTAGAGTACCTCTTGTGGAATGACACAAAGATATTTAATATGTATTAGCTATTATTATTTCACTACTATGATTTAATTGAAAACAAAATTAGTTTAAAAATTATGGGAATGTTAGTAAACAATATTTAGGTTACCTTTTAAACTGTTACCTTCAACTTCATTGGAAAATGCATTACTTAATTTGTTATTAGATTAAAATACTGAGCTGTCAGCTTTGAGAGTTACTCTGAAAGAAACCACAGTAACTTGCCATTAAATGTGTGTAGTTTTTTTGGATGGAGAGTATGACTTTAGTCTCATTACTAATACTAATCCTCAATTAAGAGCTTTTATGTAGCTGTTTCTAGCATTTCATGTATCCCTAGAGAGCTAAGTAGTCATCATCAATTGATATTTCAATGTCGATAGGCAGATTCTGTTGGGTGAATAATAAAGTCAAATATTAGCATTTTAAACACATCTGGGGCAGAAAAGAAGTGTATTTATATGCAGTTCTTTATTTATAATGCTATTGAATATAAAGTCAGATTTTTTTTTTTAAAAGACAGTAAATGGAATAGACAGTATCATTTAGTTACTCTAAAATTCCGACTTCTTAGAGCTAACGTTTTTTCCTGCCTTGAAGGTACAAAGCTACCAGTACCTTTGTCAAATTATGCCAACTACTTTCTTAACACAGATACTCTCTGTACCTAGAAATACATCTGAATTTTTTTTCTTCATTTAGCCTGTGCTTTGTTGTGGGGTGCGTGCGTGCGTGCGTGCGTGTGTGTGTGTGTGTGTGTGTGTGTTTTACTGACTTCTAAATTTTCTTGATCATTTTTACCAGAATTTTAATTGCAGAACTTTCTTGTAATGTGCTCATTTTAGCACCTGTTTTGGAAGTGACGATGGGTAGTCTCCCAGAGTATACTGTATTAAGTAGTACTCTTTAGCCTATTCCAGTTTGTGAAAAGCTTTTGTCCTCCACTCCTGTATCAATTAAAAAAAAAAAAAAAAAAGGTATCTGTCAGTATCTTTTAAAATACAAGCATTGTAGAATGTGATGGAATGGCTGTTTTTCATATTATTACTTGATAAATGTCTCCTCTTTTGTAAAGCTGCAAAACGATTGATGTGGCAACCCTGGGCCAAGAAAGCCAGTGGGTCCTTCGGATTGAATTGTCCCATGGCCATGTTGAGAAGAAGGATAGGTTTGCACTGGCTGCCTTGCAGGGACATCTTTTATCTTCTTTAGCTGTTGAGCAATAGCTGGCTTCTGCCTATCTGAAGATAAATTGTTCACCTGCCGAAATTAGTTAAATTTATCCCTTAAAAAAGATGGATTAAGTCCGTTAGGCACTTGTAAAAGCCAGCAAAGAAACTTTTCTGTTTGTCCATCTTTGAGAGAATGGCTTACTAGCCTTTAGCACTGATAACTAGAAGGATCCAGTGTACCTTTATCGTCTGATTAAGGATTTGAGCAAGGTCTAAAAACATCTCTTTTACAATTTTTTAAACTTAGTTTGAGCAAAAGTTGTGTGTCAGAAATTCTTTAACAGATGTTCATTTCTTTGACCGTTATAATATCGCTTACCTTGTCTGTGAAAACTGAAAGGAAATTGTCAGAATCTTAATTTTTTTTAACTTTTAAGTCACTTGGCTGCTTTTCCTTGTTCATCATAAAAATCAAGACTTTGACAAATTGACCTTCTTTATTCAGTAATAGCATAAGTAATGTTCTGCATATGAACATTTTGCCTTAGATCTGTGCAAAGTCTCCAGTTAAAACATTGTTTTCCCATTTAAATTGGATCCTTTCTTTTTGACCATATTTCTCTTATGATGGAACTTTATTGCTTTTCTCTGTAGTAAGTATCAGAGAGATGTGCCAGGTGCTTTTTATTTTAGTTTAGTTTTGTCTTTTTGGCACACTTTCTTTGCCCTGTCAATATACCTAACTTCGGTTCTTCCATTTAGAGTTATATGTTTTGGCAGAAGTGTTCCAGGAATTGTCACCTGAGCATGTAAACCAATTCTACAAATGTTTGCATGGGGGATGTGGTTCACATTCGAATGAGTTTATTTGAGAAGAGCATCTTTGAATTCTGTCAGTCTTCTTTGGTTCCAAGTCAGAATTTAGTATGAAAACAATAGTATAGTACATCCTCCTTGCGTCAGGAAGCAAGCACAGTCTGCTCGGGTGGGTGTGGGTGGTGGTGGTGGTGTGTGTGTGTGTGTGTGTGTGTGTGTGTGTGTTTTATCCTGCCCTGGATCCATTGCAACCCTGACAATTTCTTCTCAAAAAATTACACCAAGGGCTGCTTTATCAGCAGAGTGGCAAAAAGTCAGTCTCCCTCTCTCTTTTTTCCAAGTGTCACTCAGCTCCTTGAAGGAACAAAATGTACCAATGTCATTTTCTGTTCAAATAACTCTCCTACAGGAATCATAAACTTCTCCTCTGGACCTGAACAAATATCTGTTGCCTTTAATGGAACTCTTTTTCTTGCCAGAACAGTCACCCCTCTTGATTTACTGTTCAATCTGTATGAAAAACCTGAGTGACCTAATTCTGCTTCAATTTTCTGTGCTCGTGAGGACACTAAATGAGTCTCCTGCAGTTATGCAGTATTACATCTCTTGTTGTTTCGGAAAGTTGAGAATCCTGAATCTCTTTATCGGACTACCTGCTGAATCCCATTGATAGGAAGATGAAATTGTCTGGAGAGAAGCATTATTTAAAATGAAGATTTCTATTAACAACAGCTACCACAAAAAGACAAAATTTTCTGTGATAAAGAAGCCCTTCCTGTACCTTTGTCCCCACCCCCACTGCCATGTGCTGAATTGAATGCATATAATTTTACTATGGAAACTACCTTTCCTTGCCACCTATAGTTTGCACGTTTGCACTTTGTACTTCTTGCCTCTCTTTCATAAAAGAGAGATTCTTTTGTGCTGGGGAATCTGAGAATCACTGACAAAGTACTAGGCCCTTTGGAGAAGCAGTCATTTCAGGAAGAAGTACACTTTCCCAGATCCCCACCCACTCCAAAGCCCCAGTGGCCCAAGGCTCCATCTACTCCCAGTTTCCACCTCCCTACTTCCCCTCTCTATTTCCCAGCTCCCACACACCCAGTTTAGTGTGATTTAATCTCTGTACTCAGTCCAGCTCTACTAAGATTATTTATTTAGTCCTAGTTCTATAGCCCTTTAGAAGATTAGGGAAAGCAGCCATTCCTCTAATTTTTAGCACCTAACCCACTTTGTCAAAGAGAATAACCCGGAATAGCAAGGGATAGTTTTCTAGGATTTTCCCGTGAAAAAGGTCTGTAATAAATCTAGAACCAAGGAGGTAGAATAACCATACCATTGCCCCCCATCTTACCTAACTATATTTAATTTTCCTTTTATTATGGCCTTACTCTACAGAAGTGAAATTGTTTGTTTCTTTTTTTCCTTTAAATTATATATTTGGAAAAAATCTGTAATTGAGTTTCCTCCTAATATCCTAATTGTTAAGCTGTATCATCTGTTGGAGAGATTTCTGCCTATGCGGCTACTTAAGAAATTGAACTGGATAAATGAAGTAGATGTTTTTCATACAGTGAAAATTAAAAAAAAAAAAATGATAATAATCTCATGAGTATCAGCTGTAAAAGAAACATGGAAGAAAGTTGGCAGAATTTGAACAATTTGACCAAAAGAGCAACATGATAAAAGTTTATTATTGCTGTATGAACTAACTAAATTTTTAGTCTGTTGTACAGTTAAACTCTTTAAAAGTATTATTATTTGTGTTAGTATGCATAGTTGAAATAACAGCGTGGTAACTATGATAATATAATAACACATTAGGATGATAAATCATTGAGTAAATCAATCAATAGCGTGTATGTAGCAAATAAAATAGGAATCTGTCACATTATTTTCAGTGAAGTCAATCAAATATGATGCATTTTCCTTACTATCATTTTTAAAATTTTGAAAAAGATGACATTTTATTTCCCTACCAGAGCAAACAACTGTAAGTTTTAAAAAACGCTTGTTTTGATATCTGGGCTATATGAAATATTAAGGTTTTTGTAGCATCTAAGAAGGTTGTAAAACACAGAAGGTTTTACTTTTTCATGTGAAAAAGTAAAACACAGAAGGTTTTACTTTTTCATATGAATATATATCAGAAAGATTGACAAACCATAATAGTAATTTTTAACAGACTCTTTAATGATCAGCTTTTAAAGTTGAGATCTAGGAAAGTTCTCGATTAGAAAGTATATTTTAATTATCTGCAGTGTCCCTGCAGTGGTTGTGGAGTCAGGCGGAGGAAGGGTTCAGTCTTGGCTCCCTCCCTTAACTAGTTCTGTGAAGTCGGCATGTTTCAACTTCTGTTTTCTCATCAGTAAACTAGGATCATTATACCTTATAGGTTGTGTGTGTGTGTGTGTGTGTGTGTGTGTGTGTGTGTGTGTGTGTGAGAGAGAGAGAGAGAGAGAGAGAGAGAGAGAGAATTAAATAAAATGATGCATTAAATGCACCTAACTTAATGCAATTAATATTAACTTAGTTTAACTTATTGCATTTTTATTACTATTCTTTCTTTCTGGAAGTTTATTCAAAGATAGTTTTGCCCCAAATTTTGGGAGAGATAGTTTTAAAAATAGATTTAAATGGCATGTAATTATTTGTAAGGAAAGGATCCAGGTGAATTCTAAAATCAGGAGTTTATTTGGGTAACAGTAATGGATCCCAAATGAATAAAGAAAGCGAGATGTCTTTTATTTTCTATTCTGCCTTTATTATGTGGAACTACCTCCAGTTATATTTTTGATAGCGTCTAAAATGAGACTCCCCAGCAATCCTTTTCTAGAAATTCTTAGTTTTTAAATACTGTTTACTTTGCTATGTGCCATTTCTTTTTTTCTCCAGCAAGCACAGCTCACAGAGGAAGTGGCTGTGGTTGGCAGGGCTCTCTCTAAATGTTTTGGGTTGGCTGATTTCTGTGGCCTCAGCACCTAAAACTACTCTTGTTCATTCAGCTTCAACAGTGGTCATCAGCATCCTCTTTGCAAGGAGGGCAAATGGCCCCATTGCCTTAGGACAGAACCAGAAGTCAGAAAGAAAACTGTTGTTTCAGCCCTGTGTGGTGGCCAGCTGGGCATTTGGGAGCAAGTCAAATTTTCTCTCTCTGTTCAGAGTGAGTAATTGCATTTGACTTTCCTCCTAGGTATATCATGAACCTTCTTTCCTAGGTGTTAGAGAAAGTTTATGTACAACACCAGAGTGTTAAGTAACATGTAGCACCTGTCTGTGTTAATGCAAAGGTAGCTTTTCTCTAACATCAGAAAATCTAGTTGGGTTTAAGAAAGCAGCCATGAGTGTCTGAAACAGGTTTTGCCACAAACTTAAACCTAAGGTTATCATTTATCATTTAAGACTAGATTGTAATGTTTATTTCTACCTCTCTCACTCCTCTTTTTTTTTTTTATCTTTAGACTTCAGGCTCGCATAGCTCACAGGATACAAGAACTGGAAAATCTACCTGGCTCTTTGCCACCAGATTTACGAACCAAAGCAACCGTGGAACTGAAAGCACTTCGGTTACTCAATTTCCAACGTCAGGTAATACCTTTTCCTCAGCAAATCTGAGATGTGGGAAGGGGATATAATTGTTGGAGATCTGTGTATCCTTAAGTATATTCAATATTATTATAAAGATATAAACTTAGTAAGATAGTGTACCTTTTAGACCAGCAGCACAGAGCTAAAAGTAGCAAAGATGAAGGTGCTTATTCTATTTTTCTCTTCTGTATATCAGCAACATTTTTTTTCTCCTGCATTATGATTTCCTAAGTCAGAGTCATGGCATTTTGTTACCACAGATGAAACCTTGAGAACAAATAAGGTAGCTCATGTTTGCCTTTATTACTCCAAAGAAAAACAAGGTAAGGTGGTAGATCAGAGCTTCTTTGTAAGCACAAATGTCTATAATTCTAGCCTTGACCATGAAATAAATTTTAACGAATATGATACACACACTACTGAATTAATAGCTCCTCGTTGATAGAAATACATAAAACTGTGTTTTGTAACTGTTTATTTTTCATCACAATACAAGTTTAGATCACATCAGACCCATATATTGACTAATCAGTGAATTATTATCTGTTGTTCCTGCTATGGTTTTCAGTAGTCACTGATTAATAAAAGCTAACATAACCATCTGTTTCAGAATTGCTAATTGTGAACTCAATAGGAAACTAGTGGAATGAAATAGAGCTAATTTTCACTTTGGTGAGTTTTGTCTTATGGACCCAAAAGGTGCAGGTCTCCTGGTCTGTACGTAGACTCATTTAGCCAGACGGGAAAAGGAACCCTTCATCTCCAGTCAGATGGGTTTGTTTGCTTAAGGTCTCAGGACATGCAAAATGAATTATTAATGAATGAAAGTAGTTTGAAAGTATTGAATTACATGACTTGGTTTGTTGGAGGATGCGATTAAAATCACAAGGCCACCCTACTTGCTATTGTCATATGAACTTGGGAGTTACATTTGCCCGTTGGTTATAATATCACAGGAGTGCATCGGTATGGCTGGGTGCTCCTTGGCCATAGGTTTGTGGGAGTAGATTAGAGTTTAAATTTTTTTTTTTTTTTAATGAAAAATTACAGAAGAAAACTTCTCTGAGTTTCATTTACTTCTTTCTTGTAGGTGACTTCATAAAATACGTCGATAAAGTGTTAACATGTTGTTAAAAGAATATTATCCACGTATATTTTTAGGAATAAGATCAGCTTCACTATGATCTAATTTTTGTTTGCTGTTATTGAAAAATCTGTTATCTATGAAGTTTCCTAATGGAATTAACTATAATTGGTGCTGATTTAAGAATTTATTTGAATTATTATTTTAATGTTTATTCCCATCACCTACTATCACATAGTATTTAATATGGTTGAGTTAATATATTTATGATAATCTAAAAGAAGTTCACAATATAGTATAAAATTTGAATATCTTATATAGCATATCATTGTTAGGAGTGGGAGGGAAGCCAAAACTAGTATTTCCCATCTCTTATAGGAGACCATGAATTAACGTTGTTTGAGTATCTGCTGCTATTGTACATGAACAGGAAATAACTCTTTTATTCTTTTTGCAGAGCAGCATTAAAGTTCATCTTTAAACACAAAAAGAATGTTAGTATGGCATTCAAAGCGTAAACAATTTTTAAAGCTTATTAACTGACTAGTATCATTAGAATAATTAAATGGAATGAATCAACTTATTTGAAATGCAGGACATCATCTACTTTTTTGTTGTTTTTATGTTTCAGTTCTGTAATTGCTTTTTTCCCCTGAATTATTTAGAAAGAAAAGTCGTACCATCTTTGAAAATACCACATACATTTGGTATGATTTAGTCTCTTCGTTTACTAAAAGGCCATCCATGGTTGAGACACTTATAGAGTCCCCCATCCTGCTCCACTAAATAGAAACGAGAGAAGAGTACGGTTCAGGAGCCTGGACCCCATTTGGGGAGGCTCTCTAACTGTTTCCCTCTTGACAGCTGAGACAGGAGGTGGTGGCCTGCATGCGGCGAGACACAACGCTCGAGACGGCTCTCAACTCCAAAGCGTACAAACGGAGCAAGCGCCAGACCCTGAGGGAGGCCCGCATGACGGAGAAACTGGAGAAGCAGCAGAAGATTGAACAGGAGAGGAAGCGCCGGCAGAAACACCAGGTGCTTGGGCCTGGGCTTTGCATTTCCTCATGTGGACAGTGATGTCCGACTAAGTAATTGGGTGGAGTCAGAACGACTGAAAAATGTGCCATTTTGGGTGGAGAGGGGAACACAGAACAGAGAAGTTCCTTGCAGCATACATAGTCTGACCACTTCGTTTTATAGATGAGAAAACTTAGGCCAAGCCAGGTAAGTGGGCTTTCTTAATTCTAATAGGTATCACCTTCATCATCCATGGAAAGCTACTGACTGGATGGGTTTCCTAGAGCAAAATCCTGGGGAAATTGGAGAAGAAAAAAGAAAGCAAAAAGTTATTTTTATAACAAATATAAATATGCTTTCTTCGAAGGGCCCAGTTGGAGGTTTCACAGGGGCAGATATTTAAAAACATTCCTTTTTGGGAGTTTGGAAATATTTTGATGTAGGATTTGATTTTGTGTCATAATCCTATAAATTATGTAAATTATGTTTGTTTTTCTGTGCTTAATTTAGTGCCTAGCTTAGTTTCGTTTATAAAAAAATGTTGGATTTTTATTGTTAAAAAGGGTACACATTTCCCCCTCCTTTATTTAAGAAGTGTACAAAAATTATGTATGGAGATTTTAGCTCCCTATCAAACCTTCAGTCACAATTCTAAGGTTTTTAAATTATAAAATTACAGCAGAAGAAACATTACTTTTGTAACGTAATTCTCGCTGAAAATTACGTTATTTGTGAGTGATGGATTGGCTTTTTGTTATGTCATCACCATTTTATAGGTCTCTCTCCATTTGATCTTTCCATTTTCATGTGGCCACACCCTCAAAGTTTCAGAGACTTCTCTTCCAAAGGCTGGCACCTATATAACCTGGAGAGGTCATGTTTCCCACTGGCTCCATAGCCCACACCTCAGCTATGGAGGCATGCCAGGGCACCTATCCTAAAATAGTCCCAAGTTTCTAGTATTTCATTGTTGTTAAACACGCACTGAGAGTCTTCTTGGACTACACTGAAACCTCATAGGACATTGGAAAATGGATTTTAAGTATTCCTTTCTCCCCTCCTTTGGATCCTTTAGGAATACCTGAACAGTATTTTACAACATGCAAAAGATTTTAAAGAGTACCATCGCTCTGTGGCTGGGAAGATCCAGAAGCTTTCCAAAGCCGTGGCAACTTGGCACGCCAACACTGAAAGGGAGCAGAAGAAAGAGACAGAGCGGATCGAAAAGGAGAGAATGCGCAGACTGATGGTAAGGGGCCCACCCGCCTCCAGGAATCCAGGAAAATGCTCCCCTCACATCCTTTTCTGTATGGAGAATGCTAACTGTACCATAGTAGAAGAAGAAAGTAAAAGCTGCTTATCAAATATATGAATATGTTCCTTTGAACTTCATGGTGATAGTGTGAAAACATCCTCTCTTTCCTAGACAATGCATACCACAAATCTTGGGCTACAGCTGTCGAGTATAGTATTGTCATGTCCTAGCGTAGATTGCTGTTCAGATTATAGCTTCTCATGTAAAGGCAGGCACTATATTTCACAGGAGTTTTAATAACCGGATCTGGAAGGATGGAGATGGCAGTTTTTTTTCTTTTTTTTAAATATTGCCTCTTTGAGACTAATGGCATGAGTTGTTTTGAATGAATATCTCATTATATTGTGTCTTGGAATCTAAGGTCTCTTTTTGGGGGGAAGCCCTTGTCTTTTTGTAATGGCAGAAAATTTTTCACACAGTGTAAAAAGTGATTTTTAAGTCAATTTTGAAATGTTGCTTTTTTTGTTTATAGCCGGAGTATTGTCAAAGGCTATTCAGGGATCATTATTTTTACACTGTTATTTTTAATGGATATATAACCAAAAAGGATTGGTTTATATCATTGGCCTGTGTATTTTGGTTTTATTGACCTTTCTGTTTTATTACTTTTGGAATTGAACCTCAGAGCACAACATGGACTTTACAAAAGTGTATGTGATCTATAGTGATAGGAGACTGTACCTGGGACATAATGCCTAATTACTGCATGAAGATAAAGTCATTAGCTTCAGCCCATAGTTCTGTCTTGGGAATATTCTAAGTGACACTGTTTTCCTTGCTGGTCTTAATGGCTTTCATTTTGTTTTCATTAATTTTTTGGATTCCAGAGAGTAAACACCATATTTTAAAGGGCTCCGTGTCCAGGTGCTACTAAATCTTGCAATCTTCTCTTGCCTCCCTCTCCTTTTTTTGAGAAGGAGAAGACTGCCCAAGAAATTTCTAACTAGCTAGGGAGACCATTTTATAGTAATCTGAGCAGTAAGCAGTCAAATTTGTCTGATTTAACTGAAGTGAAACTATATTAGAACTTCAGTAACAGATTGGTTTGACACTAATGATTAGGCATTTGCAAACCATTAATTTTTGCAATTAAATGATGGAATATACAGATAACAGAGAAACTGAAGTTTTTTATCACTCTTTCTTCAAGTGAGATCAACCATAACCAAAAGCAATTAGAGTTATAATAGCATTTGAAGTTCATGCTCATCCACGGGGCACACAGCAGCTAGACTAAGTGATGAAACTGCTGTCACTCGGGCAAATACTGGAGTGACACCCCTGGACTAAAGATCCAAAGCTTTTCTGTAATAGAGCTGCCTCTTAAAGATTTTGCGGTGTGTTCCTTTTATTCTGCATCACACGAGGAAAATATTTTTGAGATGTCCTTCTACTGGGATATATAAAAAAAGATTTCTCTTGAAATGGCTCAGAGTACATCAGAATTTTTATTTCATTTAACCTCATAATGTTGCTTAATGGGAAGTGGAGGTGGGATTTATCTGTTTTATTGCTCAGTGGTATCAGACTTCAGGTGCTAAATGACTTGTCCCCAGTCACCTAGGCCCATAATATAGTGCCAATCCGTGTTTAAAAATCCCCCTGATTTGACTTTTCCTATCAACCACAATGTTTGTAATGCTTATAAGTATAAGAAGTTACTTGTTCAATGCCTATATGGTTTTTTGCCTTTATCAAAATATTTATGAATGAACGGATATTATATCTGGAATTTGATTTAAGAAAATCCAGTTCGAGATTGTGGGGAGGACTTTGGGGGAAGGGTAATAATGAGAGGAGTCATCATGAGTTAATTTTTGTTGCTCGGAGTTAATAATATGAGAGATTATTCTATTCTCTCTACTTTCGATTATATTTGAAAATTTCCCAAAGTTAGGAATAAACTTCAAATGGTGCATTGTCAAATTTTAAGTTTTTTGTACAGTTAAAGAAACACACGAACAAAAAGTTGACAAAGAGTTCTTGGTCCCAGCACATAGTGTGGCTGTGTGTCCTGACTTTGCTGTGAACCCAGTGTCCTGGGACATAGGCATCACACTTGTGAATGTGTGAGAACTCGTGCAGCCTGGAAAATCCAATGTGCTGCACTCACCACCAGTCAAACTTCAGACTGTCGAGGGGAGGGAAGAGGGGGGAATGGTGTTGTCTGCACATTATACTCTGATCGCACTTTTCTTTCTTAACAGGCTGAAGATGAAGAGGGCTATCGAAAACTAATTGATCAAAAGAAAGACAGGCGATTAGCTTACCTTCTGCAGCAGACCGATGAGTATGTGGCCAACCTGACCAGCCTGGTTTGGGAGCACAAGCAAGCCCAAGCGGCCAAAGAGAAGAAGAAGAGGAGAAGGAGGAAGAAGGTGAGTGCCCTCCTGGTGGCCACTGGGTCTGGGGTGTGTGGTCAGGAGCCAGCTTAAGGTACGTATTGTTCTTTAATAAATACTCCCTAGCACACTAATGCAAGGCTTAGATGATTGAATTACAAAAATCGCTTGCTTATGTAAAAGGATATGACATGAAAGAGTTGATTAGGCATACTAAGGCAGCAGATTGGAGATGAGGGCGTAATGGGTAGGCTGTATTAAATGGAAACAATGCAGTTCATATTTCTATTGTTTCATACAGAATTTAAAAATTAAATGAACCTGGTCAATAGGAAAAGGAAAAACACAGGCATAAATAAGTGTGTACTTAAGTGGAATGGTAGTGTGGCAGGGGACTGTTCAGTTGAGAAACTGGAGTGAAAATTAAGAATAAAATGCAGTGTACAGATTGAAAAAAAGCCAGAGAAAGATGTAAGATATAGCTTTGGGGTACTTTTGGGACAAATTTCAGCCTCTTTATTTGGACAGACAGCAATGCCAAAATTGTTCATTGAGTTTAGCTGCCCTGTGTCACACGAGGTCAGAGTTTTAGGTGATTATAGAAAACAATAGCCTTATGTAAAATGAGTTCTAATTATCATGAGAAGTGAAGGGTAGGATTTAGAATTTCTGTTCTGCAGATAGTCTATCACAACTCAAGAGTAACAAACATACTAGTGTAGGTCTGTGAATATATCTCCTCTTTGAAGCTAAGTAGTCTGGTAATTTAGTTCTTGGTTTTTTGTTTTCATGGTAAATTCTGATTGGCCCAGGTACAAACATCAACAGCAAGTCTTCCTCAGAATTGTGATGATTGAGGGTTGGTAGCACATAATCATTTATTCTCTGCACCGAATAATTGAACAAAATGTTTTTCCAAAAATAATTAATTTCATGGCTTCTGAATTCTCATACTTGTTTCATAATTAAGAAGGAAGGATAAATGATTGAGAAGGTGCCTTCCTGCACCTGGCTTCTTTAGCATAAGATAGCTTCCCTTATTGTGAAGATGAACAAGGGATGACTCAGGGCTTGGATTTAGACATTTCAGTGGTGAGGAATACCTCATTTTCTTGTCAAGATAGCATTATAGACTTTGCAGAATTTCAGCTGCCAATTTCTGACTTAAAAAGATACTTTCAGAGTTCATGAAGAGCACATAGGCAAACAGATACAATTCTGTCATATTCCATATGTGGATCCCATGAAATGCTAGTTTTAGTTTTTCCTAATCCAGCCATGTATTTTTGCGGAGGTTATTACAAAAAGGTCATTGTTAGTGTTTTTAGTATTAAAGTTCATATTCTACCTTTCATTGTGAGTAAAAGCTAATGGCCCAGATTTGAGCTTCCAGCTTATAATTATTACATTCCTGCCATAGTATTAGACAGTTATATCATCATAGGCAAAGAAAGATATATAATTGAGTGGTAATGATTATGCCTTTATTTTTGTGTTAATCTGTGCAGAGCGGCAACCAGTCACAATATTTTTCATGGTGCTGCCAACTCTGCATGATCTATACTTTGGCTCTCTACCTCCAAACTCTTGCCTTTAGGTTTGCTAATAACACTTATTCTATTTTATGCATTTGCTCAACAAATATTAATTGAACATTTACTATGATCTAGGCAGTATGCTGGATGCTGGGGGAGAATGTGTAATGGTGAGAAAAAGCACTCTTGCCCTTTCTCTCAATTTAATCAGAAAAAGAGGGCACAGACAGGTAGACATTAATCAAATATGGACCTAAATATATAATTATAAACTGTGATGAATGATGTGAAGGAAATACTGTGAGTCACGTTGGGCATAAGGCCTGATTTCCCGGCAAACGAGAAACAATCCCAAGCACCTCCTGTCTGCTTTGTGGATATCTCCTGGCATCTCTCGTTGATGATCTCACATGGTCGAATGTGTAGAATTATTGGTTCATTATCAGCCCTTGACCTTTTCCCTGGCATGCTCTCAGGATGCCTAGCATTTGAGCCCTCGTTGCCCTCTGGAGAAATGGGACAAAGAAGGTAAAAAAGAAAAAAACAAAAACTCAGAAAAACTGGGCCCGTTCCTAGTCTTTCCTGAAAACTGTCTCTTTCATGGGGCTTTGAGACTTAGTTCAAAGTGAGTCACCCAATTCTTGGTTGCACCTTTACACCGATGCAAAGAAAATGGATGCTTTCAAAGGTTGATTCTTTGACACTTTGGATTATCTGGAGTTTTTCTTCCCTCCATTAGAGTGAATGATTGAGAGTTGCTTGTTCCAATTTCTCTGTTGGGGAGAGGAACTACGACCGGAAACTTAAAAATTCTGTGCTGTCCCTTTCAGTCTTTTTCCCATAGAATTGCATATCACCATGTACCTATCTACATTTTTTAATTAAGAAAGTCATCAATAAATCTTTGTTTTGAGAAAAGCTTTTTTGCCCAGTGAACTTACGGCATTGAGCTAGTAGCAACATTTGTAAGACAATTAAGATACTCGAAGAACTGTGCTATTAAAGATGAGTATGATTGACCTTGTAATTTAATTGGAAAGGGGTTACTTTTTACTTTGTGTTAAACTCATGTATAATTAAAAAAATAGCCCTAGTGTAAAAGAGAAGGCCTTTTCCCCCCTTGGGGAGTTTATTGTGTTTAATTGTTGTTAGTCAATAATATAGTGGGGTTCCTTTAACCTGTCACGACCTTGTTTAATTTTCTTTTCTCACCATTAGAACCATGTCTATGAAGTATACATTTATAAATCATTCTCAAACTTCCCCTTCTCAGCCTGGTCTTCCATTAATACTTTGAAATGGAAGAAAAAGAAGTAAACTCTATGTATCTTCTTAAATGTTAGAGAAGGAATAATTTTTAAGGAATTGAAATACTTAATTGTATGAAACCGGTATCTACAATATGACAGGATGAATGCGCTATTATGTGCACTGATTGTGACTTTGAGGTCCCTGTCCTCTGCTGTGATTGTTCTCTAATCTACTGGATGACTACAGGATAAAAAGGGGAATGGGGTTCGCTAAAGCCACTGGGTGTATACAAATAGGATAGAACATGCTAAATTAGAAAAGTGGACCACTGTCCAAATCATGTTAGCGCAGTCTTTTAAATCCACAGCAGCATAAGAAAACATATCATACTAACTTGTTCTTATTCTCTTGTAGGGTATTTCATTCAAAGATACATTATCTAGTGCTCTAGTCTCCTGATCTGCCAGAAGGTGATAGGAGCAGTACCTACATCCTAGATTTGTTAGAGTTACGTGGAAAAGTTTGTCTAAAGCATTTAGAGCGCTCCCTGGCACATAATAGGTGCTCAGTAAGTCATAGTTATTTTATAAGGCAATTCTGTGGTATAAATGTAGGATCATGGTTGCTGAAATTTGGTTATAGGTTTTGTTGGAAATGAAATCTTCTTTTTCCCCTTATTGTATATTCTCTGTGATGTTGAGTAAATAAATAGCCATGATTTTTTTCTAGTTAAGAATCACCTGGATATTGTCTTTGGGAACAGTGACAGGTTCTTTGACTATTGAGACATGCAGTAGGAAATGAAGATTTATTGTTTGGGGTGGACTCTGCTTACCCCTTCCTCCCCCACTTCTACAAACAGAATTTGTAATTATATGATCTCTAATTTGGAATCGTTTCTGGTGATAATAAGGTATTTTTCACAAGGTTTAGGGTGTATTTTTTCTTACGCTGTGGTTAGGAGCCCAGGCTACCCCCTGTCCTGAACCTACTGCTTAGGAGTCTCGCCATTTCAGGGGTTCAGCTTCCCAAGCTGTTGACTTCAGGGCAAAAGTAAATATTTCATTCCCTCTTTCAAATCTTGCAATGGGGTATATACCAGCAGAACTGTGCCCTTGTTATTTATTTGTGACATTTCTTGGAAACCAATGATACTAATAGGAACCTACTCAGAGAACCCATGGGGGAACGCCGTGCCAGAGCTTTTTCATGGTGGTGTTTGCTTTTCTTTCTGAAAGTTCTTTTGTCCTCTCTCTCTCTCATCAACCATGATTATGAGTAAATCTCAGGACTGGGATGTTTTAGAGGAGGACCTTTCCATCATAATGTATGGATCAATATAGTAATAGGAAATACGTTTTTATCCTTTTTAAATATCAAAAAGATCAGAAAAGCCTTTTGGTATAATTTTGGGGGAAAAGGGCATCAGATGCAAAGTAGTAATATTGCTGAGACATTCATTTTAAGTTCCAGTTGCTCTCCGATTTTTCTCAATTCTTTTCTCTTTTGTTTTCCTCAGAGATGCAGGTTTTTTCTATAAGGAGATTTTCGTAGGTAAATCTGGGTATTTGAGTGTAGCAACTGTTGTAAAGATAGGTGAACACAATGCCATAATGATTAGATTTATATGATTAGCTCAGTGTCAAAATGGGTGAAACTAGAGGTTTGGATCAAAGTCCTGCTTAACTGGATTGACCAGTTACTTGAGTCAAAATGTTAGAATTGGTTTTCTCTGCAAGGCACAACCAATGTGCAATTTCCTGTTAATTTGATATTCTTGGGTATTTTTTATTGTCTGATCACCTATCTTAATGCTCAAAGGTCTGCTTAAATGACAGTAAAAATAACCCAAGTGGTTTCTGAAAGCTTAGTTTTCCATTGAAACAGAACGAGTCTTTAAGATGCCAGCACATTTGAATGTTGTTTCAGCATATTATAACAGCACCTGCTGGGGGATAAAGTGCATTCACTTTAAAATATAGATTGTAAAATATTTGCTATAAAACTGTTTCTTTACAAAATGAGGCTGTTTGTGGCCTATGTCGTGGTAATCTAAATAAAATGTCCCATTGAAGTTTATTTTCTTGAGTTCAGCTTAAATAGGATTTTCATGTTAGAGGATTTCTTTCCCTCCTTGGCCCTATCATTGATTATTTTATGTAGCTTGTGCAAGGACGACACGTAGGCTTTCACATAGCTTTGTTCCTGAACATTTCTAAATGGAATGTATGAGTTGACGTTGGCCTTGGAAATTAGGACCCCAAATTGTCTTTAGGTATGGGTAATTTGTTTCATATTCCCTTCCATGACTAGGCTAATTACCCTCCTTCTTTTCTCCATGAGCATAATGAGTTCCAAACTTTGCAGGTAGGAAGAAGCCAGTACAAAGTTCCTTTAGCCCTGATTAATGGATGAACTTCAGTGTTTTGTTTTGTTTTGTTGTTAATTGATGGAAATAAGCTCAGGCATCAGCCAGTAATATTGATGTGTTTATAATCAAATGATACAGATAACTAGATGTGAACATTTCTCAGGCAGTAGGAGACACAGTAGCAGCTGCCATGTCAGCACCAGGCCATTTCACCAGATGTTCAGAGACTGTCAAAGTGTAGCTCAAACAGTAGCACCAGTCACAATTTGTTTGGAGTTAATCTTGAAACACAAAAAGGTGTTTTTGTATTGTTTTGTTTTTTGGGGAGAAGAGAGGGAAGGAATAAAGTATCAGCTTGATGTGTAAAGGTGAATTTACGAGAAAGCACACCAACCAGAAACCTTCACCAACCTGAAAGAATCCAAAGCATGATGGGAGAGAACTTGGCATCTCTTGCATAGAGTAGACTGCCACCTGGCTTCCACCTCATATAATAACATAGCCAAATTGGATGTTAAGTACAGGGCAAGCAAGAGAAGTCTCACAGAGTGCCAGTTCAATTGGGAATTGTGTTCTTAACTATTTTGATTTGTAAATATATTGGTACCTAATTACAATAATAATAATATTTCATTGAGCATAAGCATTGCTCGTGGTGCTTACATTTATTCATTTATTCACCAAATATTTAGTGCCTTTTAAGTGCTAGGCGCCCTTGTAGGTGTGAGAATACATGAGTGAACAAAATAGACAAAAATCCCTGACTTTGTAACCTTATGAAGCAGTTTTGAGACAATGCTATAGCCAGTCTTGTATAGACATAAAAGAATAGCCCTCGGACTGTTGTCGATTCTTTCACATTGTGAAGATTGATGCTCGCGGTGCCCATTACATGTGACATTGGGTTGTACATTCTGAGATAGTGGCTCAGTCCTGCAACAGCCCTATGAGGTGGTAGGGACTGTTACTGCCTTTAATTTATAAAACAGGGAACCAAGACACAAAATGATTTGCTCAAGATCAAACAGCAAAGGTTTCTTGCATTTAGTGGCACAACTGGGATTCAAATGCAGGTTGCCTAATTCCAGAACGAAATTTCTTAAATCTAATATTACATAGCTTCTCAAGTTTGAATTAGTAGAATTTTTAAAGTCAGTTTGGAGGATTTTAAGTAATGGGAGGGCCTGATTATGAGGCAGTTTTTAGATAACACGCTTGCTAGTCTATAGCATATTCATAGAAGAATATCCTTAGAACAGTTTTGATTCTATTATTTATGGTCCTTCAAGCTTTTTAATGTACTATTCATTGAAATGGTGATCCAGTTCTAGTAGCTAGATACTGGAAATTGGCTTATTCATTGTCTCATTTGATTTTCTTTGTTGGCTAAATTTGTAGCTTATTTCTGATTTATATGGAAAGAATGGTGGGATTAATTGACTTTCTCCCATTAATTAAAACAGTTGCCTGAGTATAGTGCCTGAGAATTCCAAAAATGGAAACTTCAGGGGTTGGTAGCAGGGATGGTTCTTTTCTGAGCGTTTCTGCCATTGTTCTCTGTGTTTTTAGCCTAGACAGGAACTGGCACTTTTCGATACTGATCATTCCTTTTGAGCTTGCAAACATTTTAACTCTGGGGTGGCATAAACAGAAAATTAAATTCTCTAGAAATCATAACCAAAGGGAGCATTTCATTTCCTACTCTTTGGTGCCTTGTGCTTTGGCATACACACATGCATCTATTTTTGCATGATAATTATAAAAGAACTTCAAAATTTTCAAACATTTATGGAAACTGCATTTCTGCAGTATGGACAAAAGGCTGGATTTTAAATAAAACATTTTCTATAAAAGCTGTTTTGTCAAGAGACAATTGAGTTATTTTCATGGAAAGCAAAAATGTATTATATAATTAATGCCTTAAATAAACAAAGTGGAGTTAACATTGATTCTGTATCATTATATATTGTTAATTAACTAAAGGGCCCAGGGGAGGAAAGCTCATTTTCTTAAATGTCTTGATAAAGCAAATGACTAAAGTTGTTTTCTCTCATTATACTACTCAGAAGTAGTATAGCTTTCCAGCAATAACTCTAAAATAAGGATTCTGTAAAGATGATGTTAAAGATTTCACTTGTCAAAGAGGTCATTATAAATGTAAGAAATTTTGGACTGTTTTATGTGTATTACAGATGAGACTCTTTGGGGTATATACAAAATGTGACATAACCTTAGCTTTCCCTTTAGGCTGTCTTTGAGGCAGAGTGGTTAATGGACTAAGATATTGGAATATTTAAGAAATAGTAGATGACAGAAGTTTTCATGAGATCACAGTATCTGCATCAAGTTTCCCCATATACCCACTGTGGAAATACTGTATATTATGAAATCCCATTAAGAAGAATAAAAAACATTCAGAGAATTCACAGAATTTTGTATCATTTTGTATTTTTATGACTCAAGAGCAATTTAGAGTTTATTCTCAATGGACGTTTTTAGAAAACTTGCTGAGGGAATAGGAAAGTTGAGCTCATTACATCAGTATTTGTCTTCATAGTGCCAAACACAAGAACATTTCAGATTCTGACCTCTCGGTGCTGCCATGTCTTAAGCTCTTTGGATCCTAGAAGACACAATTCACAGATCTCTAATGTCCTGACCTTGAATCACATCTGGCTTTAAATAACTCTCTGCATGTTGCTAATAAAACACATACTTTGTTTTAGATAATGAAAAGAAATAAAAATAAAAAGCATTGATACTTCATCTTTGTTAGGTGACGATGGGTAGTAATGGAATGCTGTTACATACCCCAGAGTTACCATGAAGTTCTTCCTGTACCCATCTTCCAGGTTGACTAGTAACATTTGACACATTGTTGTTTTACAGAAGGCTGAAGAGAATGCAGAGGGAGGAGAGTCTGCCCTGGGACCAGATGGAGAGGTGAGGGATTTTTGCATCCATTTTTATTGTGTTCTGCTCTCTGAGTCCCTGCCATACCTTGCAGTACCATTGTCTATGTATACTAATTTTATTTTTACTCAGCTCTTTATTTTTAAATGAAAATACTAGTACATTAGTATAGTAGAACATTAGGATAGTATAAAAGGGACTGAAAAGTAATCTGCTTCCTTCTCAGACTGCCAGTCAACTGATATTAAATTTCTTGTGTACCATTCCAGAATTTTCTGTGCACATACAAGCATATGGTTATGCATACTTAGAATGTATAAAACTCTTAGTTCTATAATTACATTTGCCCAGTAAATGACACAGAAGCATAAACTATGACCCTTTTTCCTTGGTTTATAACTAATTTAAAATTATAAAACTCCATAAGCCAAACAGTTCACATAATCAGTTAACTTAATTTTTGACATCTTCTATAGGCTTACAGTGTAGCTTCTATTTGTAGATTCATTAGCATGTTCCTATATTTTATTTTCTAGTATTTCTAATATTCTCCCAAATCATGAAAATACAATTACTCATTTACCAGATTTTTTCCCCCTCTGGAACTCAAGGTTCTCTACTAATGATTCACATGAGGGTCATAGCCACAGAGCAGGGTGGGAAGGGAGTTTGTTTCAAGCTGCCTTCTCCTCTCACAGATTTGGATAAACCCGCTCAAAGTTTGGATAGGTGGAGGGTTGCCTCTTCTCAGTCCAGAATCACTGTGCATGTGACATGTATTGTGGATGTGAACAGCCTGGATGCAGAAGAAAGGTTGAAACCCCTATTTTATGCAGAAACTTCTTGAACAATAAATGTTGCTTAACCACTATAATCCATCACAAGGAAAGAAAGGATCGGGATAAATTTCTAATGTGTAAGAAACAATCCATGAGCTGTTATGGGGGAAGAATACTATATATATATATTAGAGCACTTAGAAACACTCTAATTTGTAAAAGCCCTGCCTTACCTAAGCACACCTCACATCGGTCTGTAATTAACAGGCACAGGAGGAGAGATTTAACATGTTAGTGTGATAGCGCTCTTATCTCTTATTTTCTCTTGAGAAAATAACCTACACATCTTGGGCCTGTGACATACACCTTTTTTTTCTTTTAATCTTAGCACATTGTGTTCTGTTTGCCGAAGTTGGCGAAATGGACATCTTACTCAGTTTGTTTGGAAAGAATATTCTTACTACACTCTGCTGTGTTCATTCAGTGCCTGTGCCAACGTTTTCATTCCAGCTACCGTCAATCCCAATTTTCTTTGAGGCATGGCATCTAAAGCAATAAAACAAACTGTACTATAATAGTTCAAGACCATGGAATATGATTTTTCCAATGGAGATGATAGCGAATGGTAGATTGCATTCTACGTGAGCGTGTAGGAGATGTTTTACGTTAATGAGGAAGAGGCTTCATCTTGGCGTGCAAAGTAATGTTGTTCACGACCTCTACTTTAGCACATGTAAAATAAAAAAACGATAGTCTGGAGTAAGATTTATTTTTTTCAAAGGTTTCTTTTTGTGGCTAATCACTGATATATTGTTTTTTATTCTGATACCACTTTGTTGAGGGATACGAGGGAAAGAACCAATTTGGGGAGGAGTCATTTCCTATTAGATATAGAAGACAACCTACAGTATACTGTTTTTCGTATCATTTTTATGTAACTCCAAATAAAAACAATTTAGGAAAAATTCTTTGGAATTGACGAATAGTCTAAACATCAAATTTTATTACTTTTAAGGGGATAGCTAACTTGAACCTCTCACAAATCAAGCATTTCTAAACAAACATCGCCTGGGGGTGGAGTGAGGGGGGGTCTGCTTGTAGAAGTACAGTCACCCTCTAATCAGTAGCATTCATTTGCATAGGATTACTCCATTTTTAGACCTTTTAAAGCAATTTGTTCTCTAAAGTAGGTTAAGCACGGCCTCTGCTATTTTATTTATTCTTTTAATTTTCTGAGCAATCCATTTTCCACTGAGTCTAATAATGAACTTCAGCTCAGTCTTGGTCTGTTCTCCAGGTTTCATATGAGCAGAGCTTTCCGCTTTATCACACTCACAGGTACTCATGGTTGGTCTAGACACCTGGTGGTTTGGTTTTAGATAAAGGACACTGGTTCTGCAAAAGCCAAACTGGCCAGTAATGAGATGACACAAATTACATACCTTTTCCTTTTCCAGTTCTCTCTGAAACCATGACTTTGCAATAGTCATTATGTGGGGGTTGAGGTTCTTAGTTAGAAATGACAAAAATTACCCCTGCCTGATTTAAGTAAGAAGGGAATGTATTAATAGGATATTGGGTAATTCATCAGATCTCTTGGAGAAGCGTGGAGAACCTGACTCGAGGCTACACCAAAATTATGCTGTACAACTGGTCAGTGAGGATGTGGCCGACACTGGGAGTAGGAAGGAGCTTGGCCAGCCCCACTGTACTGGCACTGCTGCCACGGTGGTGTACCCTCCCACCGGTGTGCCTGTTGGTCCCTGCTTCCTTGGACTTCCAGCTCCTAATTCAGAACCTCGGTGACTGCACCCAGTCGGTGGAGCTGAGGTCTTTTGCCATACCTTAGCTGCAAGGGAGATTGGTGTTTTCCATTTCTTTAGTAGGAGTGGCCTCCCCCACTTCCCACCAAGACTCAGGTGGTAAAAGTTCCAATCACAGAAAAAGTTTCAGACGCTGGGCAGCCCAAAGGAGAAGAAACATCCAGCATAGAACTGTGAGAACATCTTGACACCAAGTGGTGACATATTTTGTTTTGTTTTGTTTTTTCTCCTTTCTAGCCTATAGATGAAAGCAGTCAGATGAGTGACCTTCCTGTCAAAGTGACTCACACAGAAACCGGCAAGGTCCTGTTTGGACCAGAAGCACCCAAAGCAAGTCAGCTAGACGCCTGGTTGGAAATGAATCCTGGGTATAGCATTAAAGTAGAATTTTTGGTGTTCTTTGGCTTTTTAGATTTTTGTGGTCCTTGTAAAACCTTGGAACACAACCTTTGTTGAAATGGTTAAAGCTGTTAACCTGCATTTTTGTCATTTGCACATAGAACATGCTAGTTACGTTGTGCGCATATGTATTGTTTTATAATTTAAGGAACTAAGCCCCCTCTTCTTCCTCACTCCTTTTCCCGTAGTTATGAAGTTGCCCCCAGATCCGACAGTGAAGAGAGTGATTCTGATTACGAGGAGGAGGTATGTATATATCTCTATTTGGAGTTAATTGGTTTGAAATTTTATGAGAGAAACACATGTGTCCTTCTATTACTTCTTCCTTCAGTCTTGGCCTTTGAGTGATGACTGAAACTGAGGGTTTGCCGGGTTGTGGCTCGCTGGGTGTGCATGTTGTGGGGGGGGGGGGGGGGGCTTCTAGCCAATGGGTAGACATGGCAAATTCTAAATTTATTAAGTACCAAGAACAGATAGTCTGGCATTAAATCAGAAGTGGTAGAAAGGTCTTTTGGGGAGAACCGAAGATAGATTTATTTGGGAAAGGCAATCCCCTGCCTCCAAGTGGTTCATACTGAGGGTTCACGGCCTAAAAATTTCTAAAGTCCTCTGGGCTTTAGAGTCTGTTTGAAGTGAAAATTCTGGAAATTTAGATGAAAACGGCAACATGGCTTGGTTTAATGATTTTGTTGAGCCTGTTGGTTTCTCTTTAAATGAGATTTTTGTTTGAATTCCTTGGATGTGCTTGTTACTGAAAGAGAAGCACATTTTTCAGTATCTTGGAAGGAATAGAATACTCAATATATCTGGAACCTCAAAGGTTAATCTTGGATACTTTTAGTAGAAACTAAGAAATAATAAAGGTATTTTTAGATCAACTATGAATGTTTAATAGTTAACAAATAGAAAGATTAAAAGAAGATTTTTATCTCCTTTATTAGAGCATTGTTAGTGGGTAGTCATTAAATCTGATGTTTGCCAGGGTGGAGGAATCTTGGTTCACAGAGTACCTGGATGCCACAGACCAGGCAAAGCAGCCTTACTGATAATAGCTCATTAGGATTTTAAGACAATTGTTGTTGCCTTCTATTTTATGGACCCGTGTTTTCTAAATTAATCTATAATGGATACCTATTGCTTTTGCAAAGAGGAAAAATAATAAAAGTTATATTTTTAAAAAGTATACTATTAAAAAGCAAATACTTTTAGAGCCATGCTATTTTTTTTAATAGGCTACTTTTTCACTGAGGTACTTGAAGCTTACAAAATCAATTTTTAAAATGTTTCTTCTTTACTCGGATGATTGGGCCCATAAATGATCCGTTCGAAGAATCTTCTCACTGAGTAAGAGAGCCAGGGAGGGACAGAGACAAGATAAAGTAGGCTGCTTAACCTGCACATGCCAGCCCGAGACTGATAACTGCAGACAGTTGGGAAGAGAATGAACTCTGGCTCTGGGGTCCAGAGACGCAGGTACTCATCTAGGGTCTGCCACTCGTGACAAGTCTCATCCTCCTTCGTGCTTCATCCGTCACCTGGAAAAGGAAGGAGCTGTGCTGGTTCCTCAGCTTACCTATGTATCAGTGATCTGTTATCATAGGCTTGATTTTTAATGTTAGTATTGTGTTCATAGTTTTTCATTCAAGAATTGTGGAAAAGCATTGTTCTCCTTAAATCTACTTTTAAAGGAAATTCTACTGGATTATCCGGAAAGATTTAGCCTTCAGTCAGTAGTGGACACGATATTTTTAGGGACGCTGTCAAACAGGTCAGCAGAATGTTGTACACAGTAGAGAGGTGGGGAGATAACGAATCCTTTGCCAAGTTATTGATACTTTCAATATAATTATTCAGAAACATGCAATGCGAAGTAGCTACAGAAAGCAAGTGTGTGTAAGCTCCCGTCTCACTACTGTGAAAGCCTGTGGGGCCACCAAAGGCCACTGGCATTATCAGAGAGAACATTTTTATGAGCAGGACAGTATGAAGATCTCCAGAGTCTGGCTTGGGAGAGAAAGATATAGGATGTCATTAAGTAAGTGAGGGAGGCATGGTTTACAGGGCTCTTTGACAAACGAACAGTGATCCATGTTCCTCTTTCTGGCATGATTTTTACATATTTATTTTTGGGAGCCCTGGTTCTAGGGGATCCTCAGAGGGTTCCTTTTATTCTGTCATTCAGTGATTTAAAATGCAGTGGATGGTGTGTATTGCCTCGTAGAGGCAGATGTTAAATCTTCCTCCCTTAATTTTATTTACTTCATTTGTGAAATTGAATACTATTTTTTATGAAGTCGAATACTGTTTAATCTCTTTTCGGAAAATGCCAATCGAAGACTCCCTGGTTAAAATGGAATCTTTTCTGTATCCTTATTCCTTCCTGAGGATGAGGAGGAAGAGTCCAGTCGGCAGGAAACCGAAGAGAAAATACTTCTGGATCCAAACAGTGAAGAAGTCTCTGAGAAGGACGCTAAGCAGATCATTGAGTGTGTATCTCTTAAGGGTTTTCTCTCTTGCAAATGCATATCATGAGAACTAGGCTTTGTGAACTTTATTTTAGAAAATTTCGTTTAAGGAAGGAAGCCTACTTCATGCCCACACTCCACTTGAGATGCTGCCGTCAGAGGTCACCGCCGAGCTCCTGGCCACCGGGCCCGTGGGTTTGGGTTGCTCCTGTCCTTCCATCCTCTTCTCCCTCCTGAGTCCCTTCTTCCAGCTCAGGCGCACTCCTGGGCTCCTCACCTGTCATGTGCACCCCATCCCAGATTGAACTCATCAGACTTGCCCCTCTCGCAGGCTGCTTCGCTGCCCTTCCTTCCTCCCTTAATGGTATCAACGCTCACCCCCGAAACCCAAGTGAGAAACACCATTTCCTCCTCTGTCCTCGTTGCCAAGCCGGTCAGCCACCAGCTCCTGCCCAGAGACACCCCAGAACCCTTGGAACCCACTCCTCTTCCCTCTGTGTGAATGCCCAGCTTCGTGCCACACCCCGTCTGCCCTCTGTGCCAGTGGTCTGCACAGCTCTTTGCTTGTACAGCTCTAATAGTAAAAGAAAATTGTTGCGAAACAATATGCAAAATAGAACATTATAAAGTGATGAGATTTTTTTTTTTTTTAAACCAGAAATAGATTGTCTAAAATTTTCTCCTTTTATTGCGAGTCTGTATGCCCCACTTTAGGAACCTTTGTTTTATCAGTCTGCCTTCCTCCTTCACTGAAAGCTTTGAGAACCTCTCAGTGAATCCTCATGGCCTGTAGAATAAAATACTAGCTCCTTAACCAGGCATAGAAAATGGAAGACTACCTTTCCCCTTTCCTGTCTTTTTAATGTCAACTTCAGCCCTCTCTCACCTGTCCCGCAAGTGTTAGACAGTGTTCTGTGAATAGGATTTGTTTTTGCATCCTAAGAGCCGAGGACAGCTTCACAGGCAAAGTGTTAAGCAGCAAGTATGTATGGTTCATGTTCATACCAGTCATTTGAGGTCAAGCGGGCCTGCATTCAAATTCTGACTCCACTATCTTTTATGTGACCCAGGCAAATTAATTAACCTCTCTAAGCCTGAAGTTCTCTATGCACATAAAATAGAGGTGACAGCAATGACGTCCACTTTACTTAGTTTTTGTGAGGATTACAATGTATCTTAATTACCAGGCAATTAAATAGTAGGTAATATATAAACCATACATACTAAAGCTATTTTAGGCTTTCCATTCTTTTTCTTCCTTTCTTTCTTTTTTCTTTTTTCTTTTTTTTTTTTTACGAAATAAACTAACATGCACACCAAAATGTGTGTGATTCTGCATTTTTTCTGTTTCAGGACAGCTAAGCAAGACGTGGATGATGAATACAGCATGCAGTACAGTGCCAGAGGCTCCCAGTCCTATTACACAGTGGCTCATGCCATCTCTGAGAGGGTAGAGAAGCAGTCCGCACTTCTCATTAACGGGACCCTGAAGCATTACCAGGTAATTGATGTGGTTTGTGTTTCCTTCGTAAGTCAGTCTTTTACCTAATTTTAATTGGAGTGTGTCATGCAAATGTTGATTGCTTAAGAGGTTTGATGATGTTGAGGCATTTTAGTTCATACTGCTTATAATACTGACATTCTCTCCATTGTGCCTATAATTCTGCTTTTTAGAGCAGTTCCATTTTACCATCTTTACTAGGGCATATCTGCTTTCTCTTTTATGGTTTTGGGATGAATTGTGTTTTAAGAAATCCTGGCTTAACATTTGGAACCGTTTCATCGTGGATCTCTTCAAAATGGAAAACCGAGCCACATTTTGTGAGTATAGGGAACATGTTATCTAATCTGGAAACAAATGAAGTATTTCTTCATAAATTTCAGTGGTGGCTATAGTTCAGTGCTGTGGATTCAGCTACCTAAGAGTCGCTATCGACCTCATTTACGCTTTTTTTAAAGTCACAACAAAGTGGTAAGCATCTGTGCTTTGATGAAAGCTAAGCTATGAACATAACAGATGTTTCATTTGACCTATCTAAAATGAGGTCAGCTCCTTTCTTCTATCTCCTACCACTTTCTAGTGTTTTTCCAAAGTATGTTCCTTGGAACATTTGTCCCATGAGAGGTACCTCAAAAAGAAAAAGAAAAAAAAAACAGGTTCCCTGTTCAAATAAATATGGGAAATACTGTCAGCTGTGACTAGGATTACCATCTAATTTACTCTATTCCAAATTCGGATACTCATGAGAGTGAATAGGAGCTTTTATTATTGATAATAGGCAGAACTCAGGACGTTCCTGAGCCAAACAGCCAAATGAATGGGCATCCCAATAATGACCCCTCTTGGTAGTCCAAGATACACATCAGCACACTTATGACTCTACAAATATAAATGTGTAATCCATAATTACACATCAGTGTCCTGTAATAAAATAACTTTAACTTTGTATTTCCCAAACTGTTTTGACCACCCCACCTTATTTTCATATTATCACCATAAACGTCTTATGAAACTAATGTCCTGTAGAATATACTTTAGGAAGTACATGCTTTAAGCCAACAGTTCTCAAACATTTTGGACTCAGGTACTCTACACTCTTAAAACTTGGTGCTATGTTGGCCGCTATGACCTGGGGTGGGAAGAATACAGTGGCTGCTCCTACAGTACTGCCTTGTTGTATGCTGAAGTGCCAGCAGTTTTTACTCACTATTGCTTTCGCATCATTAGTGCAACTGTCGATACAATATAAAAGGTAAGTAATGCCCTAGTGTTATTATGAAAATTGTTTGACCTTGCGAGTCTCCTGAGAAGATCCGAGGACCCCCCAGGAGTCCCTGCAACACACTTTGACAACCACTGCTCTGGGTGTAGTAAGGTCCTGTTTTCTCCAGAGACCATCATATGTTCATGAGGTTCCAAGTGGTTATTATCTTATTTGGTCAACCTGATATTGTAGTTAACTCATAGTGTATCCTAAAAACTTTTGTGTGTCTGTATCTGGAAGATGCATTCTTTGGATTATTCATAAAAAATTTAATGCCACATTGATTTCTTCTGCCATCTAACACCTTTTTGAGCACACTTTATCTTGCTGTCTTTTAAAAACCATCTCTGCTATTTTACATATGTGAATATTATGCCGCTCTCCCTGAACTGGGCTGCTGTAGATCCCAGAACATGCCTTGCTCTATCCCCCTCTGGGTTTCTGTCTCATAAAGTTCTGACTTCTTCCTAGATAGATTCTGATTGCCCATATCTGCCTGATGAGATCTTTTCCATTTCTCACGAACCAATTAAAACTGTAGCTCAGAGGCTTCCTGGATCACTTTGTTCATGAGTAAGCTTTCTATCTTCTTGCTACTTGCTGAGTTTTTCTATCATTAATAGTTATTTAACCCTGACATAGCTGAAGCCTTCCGGCTGCTTCCTGGAAAGCCATGTAAGCTTGGTTCAATACCCAACTCCTCCAACTCCATGGTCTAGGGAAGTCCAAATCACTTTCCACAATTTTGTGAATTTCTAGACCCTTCTGCTGCCAGTTTTTGCTTCTGTTTTATCTGGGATTAACAGAGACACAAAATTCAGCCTATTTGCCAATTTACGTTAAAAGAATTCACTACCACCGAGTATACAAATGTTTCTGGCATTTAGTTGACTTTTCTAAAGGTCTGGTGGTCCTTGAGGTCATGTTACAGGCTCCCAGCTCCTCCTAACTACCCATTATGGTTCCCAATCATTTCTTTACTTCCTTTCTCTTTGCTCAGGTTTTCAAATGCTCTTCCCAGTTTTCTCCTATGTCTTGGTGTTGCTGTTGTTCTGCAAAACCCTTTAGAATGACATGGCACAAGATGCTCAACATGGCATATGGAAATATTTCTTCAAACCATTGCAGTGCTCTCCCTAATCAGATACTATTTGATACGTATGGCACTGGCACTGTCAACCGTTTCTTGGTGCCTGTGTATGTATATGTGAATGGTTATTGTCTCCTCTCTGACTGCAAGCTTCTGAGGGGAGGCATGCATCTCACACTAGGTATCCATCTGCGGTATAGCTCCTTGCATAGCCTCTTGCACAGAATAATGATTTAATAAATTTTAAAATAAATAAATCACTTTGTTTTCACGTAAAACATTAAAATTAACATTTCCCTAAGCATAACTTCATTAGCAAGCTAAATTGACATATATATATGTATAAAGTAAAAGTGATCCTACCTTTTAAACTCAGCATCTGTAATATGATGGTAAAAGGGAATTGGTGGTTGGGAGAGGGAGGTTTAACGATTTTGTATCTTCACCTAAACTTTGTTGTACTTAACACAGGGAATCCAAAGCTGAATCTGGTGTACTTAAAAAAATATCTGGAATGTGACTCCAGGCAGTCAGCTTCCGGTGTGCTGCCCCTGGGGGGTACCCACATTGCAAAGTTTCCATGTGCTGCCTGGGAGGTTTCTCTCCACCAGGAAGTGCCCTCCTGTGGGCCCAGCAGCAAGCCTCTGGCTCCCTGGTCACCCCACTTCCTCATTGAGGGGATCCTACCCTGTAGGGAGGTGCTTCTTTGCCAAGAAGGCTATTTCTAAGGATCTGTGATCGAGCCAAACCTGCCTTCTGGTTTGTTTGTCTTTAATCCTCACATTGGCTTTTTGTTGTTAGAATGGTTGGAATGGATTTTGGTTTGGGTTTTCCTCATTTGTAATAATTCTAGAATGTCATATACTGCAAAATGCTAAGTAGGGATGAACAGCAAAGCTGCTTAAAATCCCACCAGTACGCTCTAGCCCATCATTTCTAAATCTGATTAACACTCAGCACCTGCCAAGCAGCAGGGATGATTACAGGCTCATATTTTAAATTCTTTTTGTGTTGGTGCTTCCCCATTGTCCTACTGTGGGAAATCCAACGTATAGCACTGAGGAGTTAAGAAGTCACAGCCTCACTTGAGTTGTATTAGTATTAATTACCTGTGCAGATCTTGGATAATTGAAGCAATTACTCTTCATTTCAGCTCCAGGGCCTGGAATGGATGGTTTCCCTGTATAATAACAATTTGAATGGAATCTTAGCTGATGAAATGGGGCTGGGAAAGACCATACAGACCATTGCACTCATCACTTATCTGATGGAGCACAAGAGACTCAATGGCCCCTATCTCATCATTGTTCCCCTTTCGTAAGTAACGCCATTTATTCTGCAATTATCTTTCTGTATGTTGTAGAGTGCCCTGTTAGTAGCTTGGCCTTGTTTTACATTTAAGGCAAAATTGTAGCGTGTAGTGGGATTACCAAGAGCATGTAATATGAGTTTAGGTTTTTATTTCCCACCCCCTACCCTTACTCCTAGCCTCTTTGATTGGCTATTTAAGCACAAGACAATTTTATCAGCCATTAGCAGGTTGACACAGCCTACACACGGTACAGTGGGCCTTATTCCACATCATTCCATCAGTGGCTTACGAAGAGGAGAGGTCTGAATTTTTTTTATTTATTTAAAGATTTCTTTGATTTTTTTTTTACTTGTTTCACTTCCGAAAGGTTGCGTATATTCAAAAGACAATATATTCTGAAATCTTCCTTTATTGTATCTTTTAAAGCAGAATCCAAATCAAAATCTTACAAATTTTGTGTGAAACTGTCCTGGATATGTATAGGTTTTTTTTCAATGATTTTGCTACTTTGTAAAGATAGGTATTTGCTGTTCTTCATTAAATTCCCAGTGCTTTGCCCACTGCATGATTCTTTGTAGAGCGTTTTCGGATACTCCTAAAAGTAGGAAGACGAAGTCACAACTGCCCTCCCTGTAGTGTAGTTGCAGTTTTAATCACTGAGATCTTACATCTCAGTACTAATGCAAACTTAGACCTTGATAAAAAATAAAGATTCTGTTTTAGTATTTTCTTCAAGTTTTTTCTAAAGAAGGACTATTTGCAGGCCTTTTTAATCTGTATTATCTGAATCTATAATATTTAGACATTCTTCGCATTTTATCTACATTTTGAATATACATTTTGCTTTTTATCTGTAGTTCACATATTCTGACTTGTATATTATGGTGACACTTTCAGGGATTTAAAAAAAAAAAGGCACTCAATATTCCTTCCCCTGCTCCCTCTTGACAGGTTTATTTAATATTTTCATGTGCTTTTGTAATTTCATTTTCCTGACTCAACTTTTCTCTGAACCTATGTGGCTATTTCTAAGACTCACTAAATCATTTGGCAATTGCTGTTTTCAGTACCATATTAAAATTTAGGGTTTTTTTTTTTTTTTTGCCCTGCATATTTATGCATGCTTTAATTTTTTTCTTATGAGATTTTTTTATGAGCCCACAACAAACTTGTCATGCTTTGTGGCAGCTTATTTCTAACTTATCTCTTACTTCCACACCTATAAAATAAATATGTAGTTGAGATATTTTATATTCTCTAGCCCCTTTCACACTGAGGCCTGAAAATAAATAAGAATATCTTTTTAACCACTGATTTTTATACAAATGTCTTTTTTCTTTTTTTTTTTTTTTTGTTCTATAGGACTCTGTCTAACTGGACATATGAATTTGACAAATGGGCTCCGTCTGTGGTGAAAATTTCTTACAAGGTTTGGAATGCTGTGTTTATATATAAACGTGGAAAAGCAAAAAATAGACCCTATTTTCTTCATTCCATATGCACATCTGTGAACTGTATTTGGTTGTAAAGTTTTGTCATGTACATCATGTACTAAACAGTGAGAGTTAATCATCCCAAGAAGATTACTGTAATAAACCATAATTACTTTCAGATAGTGAAATGCAGAAGAAAATTGTTAATTATCATATTGCAAGGTTTCTGATGAGAGTAATACAAATGACAAATATCGCACATTCTGTGTGCTGCTGCCTGGCTCACTGTCGGCTGCTGCCGGGCCCACTGTTCCTGCAAAGTTAGGCAATTACCCAGGTGCCCGGGCCGCCTGCTGTAGGCTCCCATAGAAATGGAGCCTTTTAGCAGAGCAGCGGATTCTCTGGTACCTCGAGGTCACTGTAATTTCCTTTTCTTTCTTTCCTCTCAGTTTTCAGTAGGAAAGCCCCTCTATATAAGAGTCTGAAAAGTGTACAGACCTGTGCGATTTTGCCGAGCACTTTCTTCATGGATAATGCATCCACACATGATAATGCATATGTGTGCAATTTGTAGTCATGTGTCTGGGCTCCATTAACCTCTGAATAGTGAGAAATAACACACACATACTTCCATTGGGTAATATATATATATTTTTTTTCTTTCTATTCAGGGCACCCCCGCTATGCGGCGCTCCCTTGTCCCCCAGCTACGGAGTGGCAAATTCAACGTCCTCTTGACTACTTATGAGTACATTATAAAAGACAAGCACATTCTTGCAAAGGTATGTTTAAAAATTTTCTTTTATCTCTAATTATGGACCATCACACTGGAGTGTAAAGTATTCCTGATATTGTACTCACCAGTATAATTTGATCATTAAATGTCACCTCTCTCTCTCTCTCTACTTTTTTTCTCAGGTCAGATACATTTTAGTCATGGGTATTCTACGTATATTATTTTTTTGTGTATGTCATTGATCCTGGGGCTCTTACCTATCCTCTCATTGTTAATTAGTTTACATCTCTTAAAAAAATTCACCTGGATTCTTTCCACAGCTGTTTTTCTCTTCAGTGGCCCTGAACGTGCTGTTGGAAGAAATAATTGTTTTTGTTGCCCTGGGTTATTGTCAGTAGCGTAACTTCATTTCTCTTGTGCCTTCATCTCTCCAAAGACGAGTAGGCACCTCACCATATGGTCTTCTCCATATGAACATTCCTCTGAGCTGCGGCTTTTCTGCTATCCCTATTTTAGGTTTTTTCCTGGTAAGATAATGAGCTATTATTGTTCAGATTACTCTGGGCTATTTCTGTGACTATTTGGACCTGGGAAAGAGCTATTTTCTACCTGCAACCTACATGTCTCCTGATTTGTATGTCCTAAGTTGTCCTTCAGCCATAAAATAAATATTTTTCTCATTTATATAATCTTGCCTCCTAATACATTCATGTAGAATGATGGAAGTAGTTTATTTCATGGAGCAAATATGAAAACTTTTTTTTTCTTTAGTCATTTCTTTTGCCCTGTGGTGTTTTGAAAGCACTATAATATGAAACTAAGTTATGGCCAGAATTGAACAGAATCCCCATTTCTGGGGTTCGTTCTGTCTCTGCACTAAACCTTTGCTCTTGGAACTGAGTGTTCCCTGCATGGCATCACAGGAAATAACATAAAGCAATTGTGTTCCCAGGGGAGGTTTAATAATTGAGATGGCACTGGTAACAGGGCTGTGTTCCTATTCCTCATACTCAGAGATGAATTTGGCAGTGTCATAAATGGTGTGTTTTCAGTATTACTATGGGAGTGTGTTCATACATTTGCGATCCTTTAAAACAAATTCATTTCATGTCTTCTGCATATGTATTTCAAAACTCATCGGGGATGCCTGGTAACGAGGTGTCTTGCTTTTATTTGTTACTGGAGAAATAAAGATATAGAAAGGGGTAGTAATTTTTTTCCAAGTGCTTCAAAGACCTAATTAGTAGTAGAACCAATAGAAAAATCTAAGGCCTTTGATTCCTTGTTTATTATTTCATAAGCTAAATTAGGCAGGGAAGTAGATTTAGAATATTTATTTAAATACATTTTATCTGCTGGCCTTTTTTATGCTGTTGGTAAGTTTAGGACAATTTTGTACAATCCTAATTAAACACTTTTCTTAGAGATGGCAGAGGTAGTTTCTCTTACCTGAACATCTCAGCTTGACGGACAGTTTTCTTTCTTTTCCCCTGACTTTTTTGGTGTGTCTATATGAGGAAGGCGAGGACTATATAGAATACTTTGCTCGTCTCCCTCCTCTCTCTAGGAGCTTTGCAGCAGGATCCAGGGACATCTGAGCACCAGATGCTTTTCTTGGCCATAGCCACTGCTTTGTAGGGAATGGATAGGCTTAGTGGAACATTCCTCATTGTTCACACTTTAAGAAACTGAGAACAGTGACCTTGAAGAGAGCCGAAAGGTAAAATGCGAGAGAGGAGGAGGACTGTTTGTAGACTTAGGAAGGATCGTGTCATATGGTCATTCTTTTCTTTTGAAGTGAGAGTCATGCTGTGGGAGTAGATTGTATTTAATTCTGAAGGTTTGGCATAAATAGAGGAATGATATTTTAGCATTGCCCTCTCTGCCGGTGAGTATATTATTTTATTTTAGAGGTCTTAAAACAGGGTCGTAGGTCTGGCAGGTAAGGACCTGGTGGGTAAGGCATATATGTGAACTGAGAGAGTCCAGGTTGCTAATCTTGCAATTTTTTAGAAGAAGCTGGATGTCCAGATTTTTATGTGAAGTATTCCAACCTTAAATGTTAGCAACTAGTTCAAATTTAAAAAAAGAAAGAAAGAACACCGAGCCAGGCCCTAACGGCAGTAGTCAGCCAATGTAATAGAAAAGAAGGCAAGAAGCCAGAGTATCTTGGCTATAGGTGATGTTGGAAAGAGCAGTCATTAACTTCTGCTTTGAGTGGAGAGCTGTATTCTGTACTTATTAGGAGCAGAGGTAGCATGACCACTAAATCTGAGATAGCTGTCATGATATAGTTTTAACAGAAGGGGTACTGGATGAGGAGACACAGGAGCTGGTTCTGGCCCAACCATTTCATTCTGGGCCCAAGTTTCCTTCTTTGTGAAAGGGTGATTTGGAATTACATGGCCCGTAAGTAACAGTGTTGCTTTAACTTTCCATTATTACATGGTGCATTACATGATCTATCAGGTATGGGAAATAGGCTATTGAGATTCTCTTATCTTAAGGAGAATCACACCCTGTCTTGTACCAAGGATGGGTTCTTTGGTTTTCCACTCTGCCACTTGCCTGTTGGAAATAGTTGTATTTTGCCTTGCTCACCACATGTTGGTCCTTCCTCTTATGTCACAGATTCGGTGGAAATACATGATCGTGGATGAAGGCCACCGAATGAAGAATCACCACTGCAAGCTGACTCAGGTCTTGAACACTCACTACGTAGCCCCCAGAAGGATCCTCTTGACTGGGACCCCACTGCAGAATAAGCTCCCAGAGCTCTGGGCCCTCCTCAACTTCCTCCTCCCCACAATCTTTAAGAGCTGCAGCACATTCGAACAGTGGTTTAATGCTCCATTCGCCATGACCGGAGAAAGGGTACTGATCTAACTTTGTTTTTTTTCCATTGCAATGAAATGAAATTAAAGGACCTAGAGCTGAGAACATTAGAGTGACAGAAAACCCACAGGGCGTTTTATAATGTCACTTATTTTACCAAGCTAGTCAGTGAGTGGAGATGTTCTCATTCCAGGGTGTTTTCCCCTCTGAAGAAAATGGACCTAGTGATGTGTGGAGTATCCGAACTCCTCTGTCTTTTGCCAACATGTTAACCAGGACACCAGAGAACATTCTTGATGGTGGAATGCTTAACCGCTATGGGCCACAGTGAAGATGAATATAGGGATATTTACTAAATTTTTGACCAGATCAGCTCAACCAACTGAACACACATCTTAAAACAAATATTTCCCTGTTATAGACTTGGGCTTTCCTTTAAACTATTTCTACATAAGGAGTTTGTGTGTAAAACTGAACTAGTTTACACTGATTTTCTGTACACATTTTTTCAGATTTTAGTATGAGCCTCAGTTTCGTCTGTATATAAATACTCCTCAAATCCTGCAGTTAGCCATTTTCAAATTTCTTATTTTCATTTTTCCTACTATCTGTCTCCTTAGAGCTCATTTATGAGAGGAAGACATGGGTACATGTCCTTTTGATTTCTTAATGATAGGAATGAAAAACCACTAAGAATGCTTTAGGGAAATTTACGTTGGAGCTATTGAGCCCTTTAATTTTGAGGTATCTTGGCCTTTTGTCAGTAATTAATTAGCTCACCCATTTGTAAAAAGTAAAGTCAATTAACTCTGCCCTATAGAGGTTACCAGAAGAAAGAGAAGGCAGAGGATTTTTATAAATATGACTGAACTTGAATAAGAGCAGAGCAGAAAATAGGAAGCATGAGGTAGAGGGTCTTATAAACCCACCAACATAAATTGGATCTACTTACTCTTGTTTTCATTTTCATGTTCAAGCCTTGTTCCCTTGGTATGTTTCTGCTTCTGGGACAAAGAGTCTAACTTAATGCTTCAACTTGAAGTAAGAACACATTAACTATTGCCCCTCTACTCGTGTTCTAGCTCAGTCTTCAGTCAATCTTTATTGCCCGCTGTATTCCCTAACGCTACTGATATAAAACTGGTAGCTTATGAGCCCTTTTCCACAAACTCGGCATTAAGACAAACACCCATTTAGAGGCCTTCTTATTACCACCTGGTAGGCAGGTGGGAATTCTGACATGTACGGGACCAGGTATAAACCTGGCCTTAATACATGGAAAATTTCAATCATATATTGAAATGAATAAGTATAACATAAAGCATTATTACATAAAACATCCTTTTAAAAAAAATCAAATTCACCTGTGGTTCTCATGTAGGTGGACTTAAATGAAGAAGAAACTATATTGATCATCAGGCGCCTGCATAAGGTCCTGAGACCATTTTTACTGAGGAGACTGAAGAAAGAAGTTGAATCCCAGCTTCCAGAAAAAGTATGTTGCAAGTACAAAAGTTGTACTTTCTTACCCTGCCGACATAGTTGAAGTACCTGCACCTGGAATTGGATTTCTAAACCAGCATGCTTGTATTTTAGTTACAGGTCTCTTGGAAAGACCTTCAGATACTGTCTTGCTTGAAAGAGCTAGAGCAGCCATCCCTGACCTCTTTGGCACCAGGTGCTGGTACTCCTATGAGAATCGAATGCCTGATCTGAGGTGGAGCTGAGGCGGTGATGCTAGTGCTGGGGAGTGGCTGCAAAATCGGAAGAAGCTTCCCTCGCCTCCTGCTGTGTGGCCCAGTCCCTAAAAGGCCACGGACCTGATACCGGTCTGCGGCCTGGGGATCGGGGAACCCCTGAGCTAGAAGATTTAGTGTAGATTCAGCCTGGTTTCAATTTGGGGCAGATTTTATAAAATTACCAACTTCGTTGAGTCTCATTATATTTTAATTTTAACTTATGGCAATTTAGCAGTATGTTAATTAACATTGAATGTTAATTTTAGATTTTTTTTTCTGAAGTTACTAACCTCACTGAGTTCAATCCTGCAGGCGCCACAGAAGTGTTCTGTTTGTGAGCCAAATAAGGATTTGAGTTTGGGACTTACATTCATTAAAAAAGGGCCTAGTAAACACTTACCAAGTTTGCCGGAAACGTATTTAGTGTTTGATACTTGTGATGTCACCGTTCTGATAGCAAGTGAAAAATAGAGTTCCTGCAAATTACAGATCCATCATCTAATTATTCTTGGGCATAGGTTTTGTCCAACACCATAAAAATTAAGTTCCTGTGAACATTTTAAATGAGTATTTTTCAGATTGCTTCGTGGATGCTGAGTTTTCAGTGCTTTAGAATGCCTTTTGAGTCCTTAGCTCCACACTTTTTGGTTGGATATGGATATTAGTTTAATATGTTTCTGATTATATTTTGGAACCATACACATTTGAGTTCTAAGTTTTATTCTCTTAAAGATAGATTGTTTGGCATTGTATACTATTTGTAGCATGAGATATTTTGATTTGTGTTTTCTCTTTAGATGAGCCAATTCTCAAATGTGTTATTTTGCATCATTGTGTTTTTCTGTGTAATGTCTCTATTTTTTGGACAGATTGTTTCATCCTGTTCTTTTTTTTTTAAAGGGGGAGTTGGCAAATAGTGTACAAAATTGATCACTTTGCAGAGAGAGAATTTTGTTCTCTAATCCCCTATTCATTAACAGTTGAAGAAAATTTAAAATAAACATCGTTTTTATACCATGTTATTCCAGCAAAAGCCTAAATATTTAAGTATTTTATTTTGCTAGTGAACTCATCTTGGGGATTGAATGCTGTTGATATTTCTTTGACTTCCTGTTGTCCTGGCTTCTTTGGACAACCCCCTTTCTGTTTAATATGGAGTTTAGTTACTGAATTGATAAACTGGGGAATGGGTACAGTGGTTACCTGGTTGCCTGGAGCTGCTTCCCTGTACAGTGTTACCAAGATCCTGCAAGTTATAGAGATGGAGTGTTAAAGACTTTAATTTGCCCCACAGTACCTTTTGTTTCTTTATAAGAGATGTAAAATAAAAGGTAATTAACTAAAGTCCTTCATTTATTCATTCTGTGAAACTTCTTAATCTTGCTTTCTTGTTCCAGGACTGGCTAATAGAGATAGATTTTTAAAACATGTTACAAATTGAAAGCATACCCTGTTTTAAGAAAATCCGTTATATAAAATCCAAACTTTTGCAGCATAAGGATTATGGGGTGATCAGTTATATCACAAAGGAATTCTTTGCTAAAGCATTCGTTTTACAGTTCTTTCCACAAGAGAGCTCCCTGAGTATTAATAAACTTAAAAAAAAAGTTACAATTAACTTTTCAAGAGTATGTTTTCTGTATAAATACCTAGAGCATTATGTTTGAGGTATATTAAATACCCTGTATGTGGTATGTCACCTATGGATAAGCTACATTTTCCTGGAGGCACCTTGGTTGAGTGGAAATCATGGACTCTGCCATCAGAGTAGACAAGGGTCTCCATGGTATTCTCTGTCTCTTACTAACTGTGTGAACTCGGGCAGGTCAGTTAACCTAGTAGCCCTCAGTGTTCTTATCAGTGAGCTAGAAAATAAATAATACCAGATTCACAGAATTGTTGAGAGGATTAGATAGATGTAATGCTCATACTACTGTGCCTGGCACATGGTAAGCACTCAACTAGTGACGGCTGCTGCTACCATATTCTTTATTTTCTACTCATGCTGCTATTTCTATTATTAATGGAGAGTTCTATTTTCCTATTCACTTCTTTCTTACTGTTCTCTTGTCCTTGCACTTTCTGTGGCCCTCCCACCTTTCTGTCCCCATAAACCTTTCAAGGCCAGTGGGGAAACTAATCACTTTGCCTAGGTATGTGGCTTTGTTGATGTGGTTTGGCCATTGGTCATTCTGTACTTTTTTCTGCCTCATGAGGATGTTTTTTTTTTTTTTAACCAGGGGAAAATTGGCCATTTAAGTGTCATCCTTGGGGGTAAAGAGTTTTTTTTCTGCCACCATATGCTTATAGCCACAAACAACATGTATGTCTTTCTCAGCCTGTGTAAAGAATCCAGAAAGGAATTATGGCTGATGGCAGGATAAGGCTAACTATAAATATTCCATAGCAATAATTTTCAAATGTTTGTGTGAAAAAGAATCGGTTAGGGAAGTATTTTTTAATTTTATATTTTAATTTACGTATAATAAAATTTACTCTTTTGGGTACATAGTTCTAGAAGTTTTGAAAACTGCATAGTTATGTTTAACCAAACCCACAATCAAAATACAGAGCAATTCTATTCTAGACCTCCCCCCGCCACACACCCACCCCCCAAAAAAATTCCCTGGTGCTACTGCTTTTTAGTCAAACCCCTACCCTTAGCCTCATGCAAACACTAATCTGTTTTCCATCCCTATATTTTTGCCTTTTTGAGAATGTTGTATGAATGGACTCAGAAAGAATGTCTCATCAAACCTTTTGCATCTGGTTTCTTTCACTCAACAGGGTGTATTTGAGATTCATCCAAGTCATTGCATATGTCAATAGTTGGTTCATATTTATTGTTGAACAGTATTCTATTATGTGGATGTACCAGAGTTTGCTTATTCATTTGGTTGAGGGACATTTAGATTGTTTCTGGTTTTTGATAATTATGGATAAATCTGCTATAAACATGCGTACAAGTTTTTGTGTAAAGATAGGTTTTCATTTCACTTGAGTAAATACCTAGGGGTAGGGTTGCTTGGTCATATGGTAAATGTATACATTACTTTTTAAGAAATTTCCAAATTGTTTTCTAAACTGTCTGAACCATTTTGTAGTCCTACCAGCAATGTATGAGTGTTGCATTTTCTCCACTTTCTCATCAGTGCTTGTCAGGTATTGTCAATTTTTTAACATGTTTAGCCATTTCAATAGATGTGTAGTGATATCCTGTAAATTCAATTTGCATTTCTTGAATGCTGAATGATCTTAGGCATCTTTTCATGTACTTATTTGGCCTCCACATGTCTTCTTTGATGAAGTGATGCTCAAATCTTGCCTGTTTTTTTCATTAGATTGTTTCTTTTCTTATTGTTGGCTTATGATAGAATAATTCTTGAAGATACAGAATGCCAACCTTAGCCCAGTAATTCTGTTTAGTATAGCTAGAGGGACCTCTGGAACCTCTACGTACTTAGCTGAAACTAAAGCAGGCATCTGAGGGCCACATTTTGATAAATGTAGCTCTACTTCACAGAAAGATTAGTTTTAATGAATAAGTATATAATAAAAATTTGTTTTAATCAATGGATATTTCATAATTTTACAAGTCTAGTGAAACACCTAATGAGCGAGAGAATGTATTGTCCCCACCTCCCCTGACGCCACCACCTAGCTGCTGGTGTAAACTCCATTCCTTACACTTAGGACAGAATGGCGATTCGTAGAAAAGTGATTATATAAAACACAACTTAAGCTAGTTAAAAGTTGTTTTTCCAATTTAGCTCCCATGTGAGGTCGTCTGTGCCGACTCTCTTCTTTTTAATTCGTATAATCAAGAACCATCTGCACTTGAAGCTGGCTATGAACATATTGATGTCTAAATATACTATGATATGTGTACAGTGCCTGAGGTTAACTAGAGCTTGAGCTACCTAAAATTGACCCTGATTTTGATATAATCTCTATAAAACAACCAGAAAGTTTTGTTTAAATGAGCAACTTCTATATTCATTATATACAAATTTAGACCACTTGATATATTTAATCATTACTTTGCTCCCCTCTCATGCTATATAGATCCCAGAACCTGGGACTTTTTGTTCATTTAATCTTATTGTTTGGAAATCTCAATTCAGAAAGTGGTGATATATCAAATATAATAGTCTAGGTTCATCGTTCCAATAATACATCCTTTTAGAAGGGAAATTAGGAGTAAAGAATAGTATTCAGGCAGAAACCATGAATAAAGCTTGAATACTTTTACGGGGTTAGATGAGAGGAGACCCTTGGCCAATGAATCACCTAATTTGGCTCCTTATAGGGGCCAGTTTGATCTTTTACTAAAATAAGAATTCTTAGGAGATAATTATCATGCACATGAGGTCAGCACCTCAGTTTTATATATAATTTGAACAAAGGGAGCCCCAACGGCTCTCACAAGCCTGACTTGTGTAGTGATATCACAAGCCTGACTTGTGAGAGCCGTTGGGGCTCCCTTTGTTCAAATTATAGAATAAAGACTCATAGATACCATTTCCTATAGCACCAGCATATTTTGAGGAACTCTCATGTTCATGCTCTAATCAGGGGCCATCATATTTGAGGGATGGTGAACTCAGACCCAACAGAGTTTAAGACGACATGATTATCATAGACACTTCCCTTGCCTCATCACTGTTGGTCAGTATGTCTACTTTAGAATTGTTCAGTCTGTCCTGTTCCTGATACATCCATCTGATTGTCTGCTCTGTCACTGCATTGCACTCAGGCCAGGGTAGAAGGTGCAGGAGTCACACCAGAAATAGGCATGATGTGAGAGGTCAGCAGACTTGGTGTGGAGACAAGATCACCTCATCCCGTACGATAGCATGACAGTGCAAAGCGACATCGTCCAACCCATTGGGATGAATGATCAGGCGTTCAAGCACTTTAGGGCAGGAGTCTTCAGAACACATACTAGGGAGCGTGTGTTTGAGGAAAGAGGTACTTACTATTAATCCATTGGGGTGCGCAAAGAAGATTTTAGAACTTCCATTTATATTATTTTTTCTCTTACACATAAAAAAACTTAAGTTGCATTGATATTTAAGGTACAGATCGACACTGGTGCCCACGTAGTGTACATACACATCAGAAAGTCAGTTACATGTCTGGGTTAGACTGTGTAGGTTATCTCAGGGAGAGTTAAAGGAGGCACCACTACCCAGGGCATCTGAAAGATCACTCACCCTCACAGCCAGGTTCATGTACTTCCTGCCTGTTGTGAGGCATTGTGGGTTTCCTGTACCCAGATAAAATTATCTAGGATGATTTGATTTTAGCTAAACTAATACCCTCAGCCCCCAGAATGGACAAAGGGCTTACAAAGATTTTGCAAAGGATTGCAGATTGAAAACAAGAAGAATAGGTGAACAATGAGAAAAAGGTGTTCCTGCCTCTTCTATTCCTAGTATGAGTTTTTATCAGCCACATGGGAGTGTAATTGGACTGGAATTGGCCAAAATAAATTAGATGCCATCAAATTGGCCCCCTGAAATATGGATAGACATCAATTGCCTTTAACATTGATCCATACCCTAAAAGTAACTCGTATCTTAAGACAACATTAATGCATGTGTATAATTCATAAATAAATATATGTGCATGTGTTGAGAAGATGTGCTTTAGCATGTCTTCCTGATAAGGGAATGCAATAAAAAAAAAAAAGCTTAATAACCACCTCTTAGAGGGAAGTGAAAGGGAAAATTGACTTTGGCTGGTAGATATGGCAATTGTGGGAGATCTTAAAGGCCCTCAAGGTAGAGTAGGATTAGAAAGGAGGCACCTAAGACTAAGGAACCCCCTAGGCCTGGAGAAAAAAGTACAAAATCAAACAAAATAGCTTAGAGTTGTTTGGGACGGTACAGGGAGCACATATGGAATATAGTTGAGAAGCTTGTGACTGTGATTTTGGTCATGTATATCCAACCAGCTTCTGATATCCCCTAAGTGTGTGAGGGAGGAAGCTCAGAAGATCAGAAGGTTAGGGTCTCTGGGATGGGCAGGCCTTTCTGCTGCCTTGGCCTCTGTGGGGTGTTCGGCATCCCTTCTGCATGGGGTCATCATGCATGCCTCCTGCTTCTCAAACTTCCCACCTCCGGCACTTAGCAGTAGCTAACTGACAAGAAGAGGGTAGAGGGTTCTGTATTTAATTCTGTGTACGGAATTTTAGGTGCCCTAAGGCACCTAAAAACAAGCACCAGCAGTCTCTTCCAGCAGGGAAGCCCCTGTAAAGGTGAACATCAGGGTAGGACTGAGCAGCCTGAACGTCTGCTGGGCCATCCTTAATGTAGAGCGTGACAGAGTGGACTCTGTTTCCAGTCCTAATTGCACCCTTAAATAGCTGTATCATTTTGAGTCCGTCTGTTAACCTTTTCATTGCTCAGGTTCCTTATTTGTAAAATGTGGACTCTAAATGTAACTCTCAGAGCACTTGAATGATGAAATGAGAGAAGGCACATAAAGCACTCTGCCCGGGGCCTGGTTCCTACAAAGAGTTCAGTAATATTAGCCCTTGATACCATTTTTATGATTATACTTGTCTGAAGTTGTTTAACATTTTTCCTCACCATGATCAAATTTCATTGAGAGTTAACAGCTCTTGAAAAAGTCGTGCTTTAAAAATACATCATCAGGCATCTAAAACACAAAGCCTGCATTTAGTACATCCTTATTTATCAAACTTGGAAATTTTTTTCCCCCTGCCCCGGCCAAGAAGGTCATTAAAAACTAAAACAAGTTTATGGTAGGTCACTTGCTTTTCTTAACTTTTTTTCCAGAGAGCCAGCCTTTCTGTAATCTGATTTGATGCATCAGAACTAGGGGCAGAAGACTATTAATTGCGGTTCCATCAGGCTTGACAGGTTCCTTCTAAAACAACAATTGAATGAATATTCAACTTCTCTTTATCTGTGACCTCAGAGCTTTGGCCCTCAGAGCTGAAAATAACCTGATCATTTTTAATCAGTTTATTAAACATTAGGCAGCTCGCTGATTTACTTTTAATCACATTCTGCAGTTTTCCAGGCATTAATCTGACGTTTATAATGAAAATTGCGCATTTGTATTCTGAAGATTTTTTAATAAAGAAAAACAATAATAGGAAGTAATCAAGGCGGTTTTTATGCATTAGGAGCATGCTAGAAGTATTGCAGGTGTGTGCTAACCCACAGGAACGTAAATTCTCTTTAACTGTTTTAAATTGGATTTTTGCAACATTTCAAATGGAAGCACATGAGGCCTTACCTTCTATTACGTGGTCATAAAGTTGAGTCCAGCTATCGATTAGTTCTTTTCTACCTGTTGTCTTCATTAGGTAGTATCCTCTCATCTCTCAAAAACAAGGTTAATGATAGTTAATTTAAGACCGTTATATGTATCATTGTAGGACCAGTACTAGGAGTAGTCGCGTATGACCATTTAAAAAATGTTTTACAAAGAAAATCATAGGGTATTGGCCAGTCACTGTTTTTCCTAAAGCTGTTCATATGAAAAGCAGGTATAGTTGGGACACAGAGGAAATACTAAAAGGATACGCTATATTGAACAACTTTGAATTTGAGCAGTTTGCAAGCCATTCTCTTTCTCAAATATGGGCTATGTCAAGAAATTTCAGAAAACATTACCCTTGCCTTAATTACATATAACCTTTTGAAGACCCCATCGTCATAATGATACCTTTAGCAATGATGACCATCCCCTCCCATCCCCCAACTCCAGGAATCCATGTGGGGAAACGGAGGTACCCTCACGGCTCCAGGAGTGCCACCAGCAGCCGTGTTTCAACTGTGTTCTCACAACAGGCACCTTCTTTCTCCTGCTCTTACTTACTGTTCTTTTTTCTCCAGGTTGAATATGTGATCAAGTGTGACATGTCAGCTCTGCAGAAGATTCTGTATCGCCATATGCAAGCCAAAGGCATCCTCCTCACAGATGGTTCTGAGAAAGATAAGAAGGTACGTGGCGGAAGATGATGCAACTCAAGGTGCCATCGTATGTCTTCTCATGGCCATGATAGTGACTAATCCCAGGAAGCATCCTGCTAATGCCAGTTTGTTAAAACAAATTACTGGATCTTTTTTGTAGCTATTGTAGCTGTGAAATACAATTTCTTAAGTGTAAACTCTTAACTGTAAACAGCATTGGGGCGGGAAGAAGGGAGTATGTTCATATCAAAATAGTGAGCTCTGCTCATGTCATTCCTGCAGAAAACTTATTCCAGCTAAATGTGGGATGGCATTTTAGAAGGTTTTGAAATCCAGTTTCATTCCTTGGGCATCTATTCTGTGCTTTTTTCTCCCCAGAATCCTAGGGAATAGACAGTCATGTCACAGACCCATCAACTTGACATAATTCCTTCCTGGAGGATAAGTTAGTCACAAGAAAGGTGTTATATCTAACTCAGAAACTGCTATATTATAACAGGAGCTATATTATAACAAGAGGTGTAGGTTCCTGAGAAGACCTACAGCCCTTTGCCTTTTCTATAAAAGCCCACTTTTAAAAAGTTGGAAATATCTGATCAATTAATAATTTGTTCTCTTTTGACTCTACTTGTTCTTAGGGGAAAGGAGGTGCTAAGACACTTATGAATACTATCATGCAGTTGAGAAAAATCTGCAATCACCCATATATGTTTCAGCACATCGAGGTAAGTCTGCATTCTGTTTTGATTCTAATCCTGATTGTGCTATTCCTACTAATACGACTTAAAGAAATTTTTAAATAAGAAATAAAACAGGTTAAAACGTGTATGGAAGTTGAAACGACATGGTCTGATAGCTTAAACGGGCAGAATTGACAAATGCGAATTTTCTGGTTATTGATTCTTATTGGCACCAAGCACTTGAGCATCTGGAATTTTATAACCAAGAGTTTAAAATAGTGAGAAAATGTTGTAAGCTATGGCTCATTATGTGTGTTTCAGTAAGTACTGTGAATTGCCTTGTTATGGTAGCAGCTCTGAAATTGAAGATAATGATAAATACATCCAGGTTTCTCAGAAAGATGCTGTGAAAAATATTAAAATAATGTATTTATACCTGTTGAAAACAAAAGATGTTCTTGAAATATTTTCTCTGTAAAAGACACCGACTTTGGCCTGTCACTTAGATTTGTATTTTTCCCTTCTGGCTTCTATCATGAGAATGTAAATTCAGGCTTTTAAACTGATTCCAGTCTCTAAGAAGCTGTTTTTAGGGGCGAGGACATTTTTTGCCCTATTCACTACATGTGAATAAGTTTCCTAAATTGACGAGTTTCACCCCAGTCAGAGCAGTTGACTTGAGCAGGAAGGAAAAGGAACCACAACTGCAGTCTCCAAGTTTTCAGCGCCGCTGCTGACGCGGATGGTTCTGGTGGCGGTTCTTTGCCGGCATAGCGCCTGCTTTCTACTACTGCACATGAGCAGGGGGCGCCTGGAGCAAGTCACTGCATGGCTCGGGCGTCTTTACTGGTTTATGAAAAAGTCAATACCTGACAAGTTCTGGGAAATTCAGAGTTGTTAATCACGGTATGAAAATGGGGTTGACTATTCTTGACTTTGTTGATTTTATTTTTCTCCCTCGTTTTTGGTAATCGCACTTGTCAAGTAAGAGCGTTTATTGCACACCCTCCCCCTGTACTGGAGCCCTGTCCCAACTACGGTGGGGAACCGGAAAGACTCCTCCCACTGCTGTTGCCTTCAAGTCCATAGGGCCGAGCATCTATAGACTATAAAGCCCTAGATCTGGGTAAAATGACAACAGCAACAACACTAACCAAAAAAAAAAAAAAAATCCACTAACAAGCTACAGCTATTTAGTTATATAGTGTAAGAAGAATCCAGTGTTCAGTGAGTCCATACCCCAGGCCACTTTGTAACTCGGATTGTTCCTCCTGGGGTGAAACTCTGTCAGCTTAGGGAACTTACGTGTAGTGATCTGGCTTAAATCACTCAGCATCTACCAGCTTTAGGGTACATGGCTTGTCGTCAATGATGGTGGATTACAGGACTGGCAGGAGGATGAACTTGAAAAAAAGTAACATAGGAAGCATCTCGTAAACTGATAACATGTTAAATGGATATAAGGTATTGATGAATTAGTGGGAGGTGTATGTTGAGTTTGGGGGAGCCAAAAAGAAAATCTAATGATGAAAATGAAAATGGGGTCATGTCAGGTTAACCACACCCACTGTCACATTTTTCCTAAAAACAATTTTAAGATACTTACTCTGTTACATAAAGGGGTTTGAGGACTCAGAAATTATGAAAATGGAATGTCAATCTTACTTTATTTGGTTATCATACAAAAATTAACCTTTGAAACATGCTAGGCCATGTCAGGAAGGGGAGGATGCCTTCTCTCCTCAAGCTTCTGTCTGTGGCACCTGGGAAGGGTGGAGGGGGACAGCAGCGGTAAAAGGAGCTAAGATTAAGTAATGTGCCCTCCGTTGCATGCATGTTTACATTTTAAATAGCCGTCAATAGAAAAAGAGACTTTGATTTGCAATTTTTGTAACATAAAAAAACTCTCAGGAGCATGTTCTTAGAAACGGGAGCCACAGTTATTGGCTCAAGTATTAAGTTATGGATCAGAGATGGTGTGTACATTTTACCTCCGTCTTTGTTTTGTTCGCCAACACAACTTGTGTTCATATGAAGTCATCCCAGAAGCCCAGTCTCTCGCTTGCCTCACTGCCTCCCCTGGGACCTTCAAACCACAGAAATGAGAACAGTATTTTTTAAATGATGCTGATTCCTCATCTTATCACCATCTACCAACACATATTGTCTCTCTGGTTTTTACAGCCTTGCTTAGAGATAGGGTTGGAACCTAAAAATCTAGTCAGGATTGGCTTCCTGTGGAGAGAGAAGGAGCGATTCTTTAGTTTGGAGTGGGATTTGGGATCATTGTCCATCGGCACTAATTTTGCCATTAGAGCACCATTTTGAGGGGCTGGGCATTATCTACCACAGATAATGGGCATATTTGAGACGAGAGCTCAAAGCGACAGATCTGGTTCCTTGGGAAGAAAAGCTTTGGTGATTGTGGAAGGAAGGGAAGCAAAAAAGGGAGACAGCTGGTGGCTAATGTGAAGGTGTGACATCTTCTCCTTCCCTTGAGAAGGAATGGAAAAGTCACATAGAGAACACTAATGCATTTCTCTCACAGAATCAGTGAGAAGAGAATTAGGTGATTAAGTTCTGTATTTTAAAAGCAGAAGCTGGACACCTGAGGGAGCAGCGTACATTTAGGGCCTTATTTGTAATAGAGAAAAGCACAGTATGGAAGGGATGTTAGGACCTCACTAAACTAAGATTTATAGTTTTTGATCACCATTACTTTTACTGTTAAATATTTTCACAGTATATTTCTGTGCACATATTAGTCCTGATGGGCTTATTTTAAACTCTTCTTCTAGTCTAGACTCTAAGCTACTTGGGGGTAGATATTTTAGTTGTTTCTGGATCCCCAGCACCTGTCTAACTCAGCCCTGTGCCAGTAGATGTTTAATTACTGTTTGATGAGTGAACTAACCCTGCCGTCTCAGTGTGAGAGTCTAGAGACTTGCAAAACTCAACAGGATACATTTTTGACAGAACAAAAGTCTGAATTCAAAGACATTGAGTTTCTGGTTCATCTTATAAGAAGTATTTCTTGCTTATTTATTATTTTGTTTAACTATACCCTAGAAATAGAGCATAGTTAAATATGGATTACTACAAGAGTAATCATTTGGTTAATAAGTACATATGGTTTTTTATAATCTTTTTCTTTATCTCTCTCTCTCAAAGGAATCCTTTGCTGAACACCTGGGCTATTCAAATGGGGTCATCAATGGGTAAATCTTAAAAATTTTTTTTCTTCCAAAAATAGTTTGTTGGTCCTACCTAAACGTTTCTCTCTGTAGTGTTTCCTATCACATAAATATATACTGCCAGTCTCCTCAGCCCTCCTCTCTCCTCAGCAGAGGGTATAGAAGTTGTTAAAGGGATATCAGCATTCTCTTTTACTTTACTGGCATAAATTACTACATGCCTTGAGTAAGTGGCTATTCAAAAGGACATAGATCTCATTTAATAGACTTAATAGTATCCTGGTTCTAAAAAATGTTGTCAAAGCTTCAGCGGGTTGTTATTTATAACCAACAGTGTAGCTTAGGTTCAAAGAGGACTTAATCATATTAAATTTCAAGTTGATATTTAACATTAACATGCAGGAGTAGAAATGTTTCGTCTCCTATTAATAAGAATGGCTTTATAGTAATTTGTTAGAATATGGTCTGTATAAGATATTTTTCATTTCAATGGACATTGAAGAGAATCATGCATGCCTTACAACAACAAAAAAGAAACTTGTATTAACAGAAAGTCTCTGTTTTACTGCTTTTGCACCGGGGAAAAGGTATTATTAGGATATAGGGGTCATTCTTGGGTCCCAAGGGCAGGCTGTGTCACTAGGCTGAGAACCAGCAACTGGAATCCACCCAGAAGCAACGCCATGAGTCTCACTTGCCTCCTTTTCCACTGGGTCCTCTGGCCGCTCCTGGTGTCATCTGGTTGGTTAGAGTGGCATATTGAAAACATGGCTGGCCACGGGGGTGTTTGCTGGACAGTTCTCAGAGCAGGGCAGGGACGTTGGGAAGACCTACACTTGAAAATGTGTCTTTTAGAGATGTCATAAAATCAGCTTTCGAATGATACATTTCAGTGTTGTAGACTGCACGTGCACTGGCGAGTTTTTCCAGCAATATCCATCCTACAATTAAGTCTTAATAATATAACACATCCCTGTTGATATTAGAGAAAAGTGGTTTATTATGGAGGAGAAAAGGCTTTACTTTATCTGATTGACAGTCTTCTCCATCTGACAGCAGTACCCACTACCGTCATACTTTTGACTTCAGTTTCCGTGTAAGACAGAACTCTTGCCCCTCCCACAGTTCATTTTCATGCATTGTACATGGTGATCTTTTCAAAAGCTAATGCCAGCTCTAGTCACTCCCCCGTTTAAACCCCACAATGGCTTTATGTTGCACTTAAAACTAAGACGTTCAGCGTGGCAAGCAGAGCCCTACAGGATCTGCCCCCACTCCTACGTGCTACCTCTCTGCTCTCAACTCCCGGTATTCTCCACTCTCTTTTATTTAAACTACGCACACCATTTTTTCAATTCCTCAGATTCACCAGGCTCTTTTACTTCTCAAGGCCTTTGCGCATACTGTTTCTACTTACTGGAAATTTGTCCTCTCTACTCCTAAGCCCCCATTCTTCACCTGGCTGCCTTTTGTTCATTATTTTAGGTTTTAGCCAAACTATCTCTTCAGTGAGGTCACCCCTGACACTATAAACCAGTGGCTGACAATTTTTTTTTTCTGTAAAGGGCCAGATCTCAAATGTTATCACCTTTGTGAGCTAAAAAATCTCTGTCACACCTATTCATCTTTGCCCTTGGAGCATGAAAGCAGCCATAGACAAAAGAGATGAATGAGCATGGCTGTTTCAATAAAACTTTATTCACAAAAACAGGCCAGAGCTGAAGTTTCCCAAACTCTGCTGTCATCTAAAGAAGATAACACATGTTGCTATAAGTTCTCTCATAGCAACTTGCTATTTTTCTTTTTAATACCTAGCACAATTTGTAATTACCCATTTTGAAGGCAAAGATTGTTTATCACTATATGCATGCCTTGCATTATGCTTGGCATATAGTAGGTGATCAGTAAGTATTTGAATGAATTTTAAGTGCCCTAAATTAATAGTTTTATATACTTAATAAGTAGGAATTTAAAGAAATACAACATATATGTGTGTGTGTGTGCATATGAGAGAGAAAGAAACATAGGATGGAAGGAACAAACGAAGGAAAGAAAGAATTAGGAAGGGCTTTTCTTTTCTATCTTCATATCTAGCATAAATAAATGCACTCTGTGAGTTTCGTATAAATATATTTTCTTTTTACATTAAATGCTCTCAATGATTTGAAGTAGATATTCATTCATTCATTCATTCATTCCACAGTTATTTATTGAGTGTTTACTATGCACAAGGCACTATATGAAAAACAAAGCTCTCCTGGATCTTTCAAGAAGACAGCAGTAATACTGTCTTCTTGTTTTGCATTTTTGGGTTCAGGGCTGAGCTGTATCGGGCCTCAGGAAAGTTTGAGCTACTTGATCGTATTCTGCCAAAATTGAGAGCGACTAATCACCGCGTGCTGCTTTTCTGCCAGATGACGTCTCTCATGACCATCATGGAGGATTACTTTGCTTTTCGGAACTTCCTTTACCTGCGTCTTGACGGTGAGTGCATAAGGAATTAGACTCGGAAGCCATGCTGACGAGGGCTCAGGGATAATGGGCACTTAGATCCAATCTCAGCGGAAAATGGGGGGTAAAATTGTTGAAGAATTAACTAGCAGGGTGGGGTGCAGCTTTTCTACATAGCAATTTTTATATCCTCAAGCTTAAAATAAGCTGAAATCACTGGCACAGCTGTTTATCCCACATACAAGCCAGTACAAGTGGACTTAGAGTCATTTATATACCACAATTAAACTAAACTGAAATAAAATTTAAAAGCTCTTCTTGCTCTTAGAGTTGTCTGTTTCTTATGCACCATGTAGAACATTTTGACAAGCCTTTCACTTTTTGTGTTAAGGCATATTTTAAGGGCGTTGAGACTATTCTGTCTCCTTTTTTTCGACAACACTGTAATAGTTTATTTAAGATTATATTTAATTATCATTAAAGTATCTCTTTTCCTAAGTAGAACATATCTATATATCATGTTAAGAGATACAGCTTCATTGTCTCCTGAATTTTGCAAACTATTTAAAGTTTTTACCTGATATTAAGAGTGAAATCAAAGTACCATGTCCTAAAAAATAGAAAGAAAATATGAATGGACTATGACTGTAGGAATACGTCCTAAATTACTATACAATTTGGATATTAGCCCTAATATTTTAGAGAGGAAAGATATCAAAATTTTCATACTGTGGCAGGGAAAAACACTTTCAAAGAGTGGTAAGTGAGAATAGGTAGGAGCTAATTTATAGCCGAGATGGTGTTTGCTGAATCTCTGGGTAGAGAAGAATATAGTATTACTAATACCAATTTTATCTAATGCAAGATTCAACCTTTTGTTGAATGGGAAACCTAAAGTTTCTGTTTTGTTAAAAGGTTTTGTTTTGTTTTCAGTCCAACATTTTGGCCCCTTTTTGCCATGGATTAGATATAACTGGAAATATACCGACCTCAGACTTGCTGTATTTGAGTTTTTAAGTGAATTCTCTTTATGATCTACCTATTAGGTTAATATTAATTTTTAAATTAATTATACCTCTGACAGGCTTGATTTTTAAAAATCTTTTTACCTCTCCCCTCCAAAGTCACTGAAAACAGATGAGTGGTTAAGTAAGTGTTAATTTTGAATTCATTACACAGTTACACGATCCACAGCCTGTCTCTGGCCGATCTCCTACATTATGTTTTGTCCTCTGACCTGAACCTTTCCTCTCTGTGGGAGAGTTCAGCACTTCATTCTAAAAGCAAACCCTCCTTCCACTGCTGCTCAGGTGAGGGGCAGCCCAGTTCTATTTTCCCCTGGGTTTGCAGCTCCCCACCCCACCACAGGTCTCAGATGTAACTTGTTTACTACTCTGTGGCATTTTGTTTTAAATCTCAGCTCTCAAAGGATTGTAGCCCTGGAATATTGGAGTCTGTGAGACTGGCAAGAAGTGATTTCCTTGAAACAGATCTCTCAAATGTTTTCTTACCAGCCTCACAGACTATCTTTAATAGTCTATTGGTTGCAGTCCTTATTGTTATTTCTAAAAATAGTCGTAAGAGCTAACATTTGTGGAATGCCTACTCCATGCTGGATGCAAGACAATGTACTACATGTGCATTATTAATTTAATTCTCTCCAACAAGCTACTGTTATCTCTCATTTACCCCGAGGTACTGATATGATCGCCATTGAACATGAGGAAACAAAGGTTTAAGAGAGATGAGTTTACCTGCCAAAGTTTACACAGTTAGCAAATGGTAAAACCAGATTCTGACTGAGATTTCTCTGCCTCCAAATTAGCTCAGTTTTTAGCAGATCCAACAAGATATAGCCCATCTCTGAAAATATTGGCTGCTGCCCTTAAGACAGCATTTTAAATATGATTTTGAACTTATTCAAAAATTTTAATTGATTGATTGAAAATGGCCAGGTACCAGAGATACAGTATAAATGAGCCACTCACTCTTCGCGCCATCAAAGCCCTTACAGTTAGGTGGGAGGAGACAAGTAAGCAAGTTCCATCAAATGTTACAGATAGAATTGAGAAAGCCAGACAGGCTTCTACCTGCAGGAAACAGCAACCATTTGTTTGAGGGACAGAGAGAATTGATAGGCAAACAGTGAATATACACATGGATAAATTAGTACACATACTTGAAGCTACAGCCCCTCTATCCACTTCACCCCTCTTAACCCAGTTGTTCAGATGGCCAGATTTTCATTGCCAGATTTGATGACTCAGATTTTTGACCTCAAGAAAAAAAACCCCATGATCACAGCTAAGCAAATTTTTCTGCAAAGATTGCAGTTGCATGAAAAGATTTAGCTACTATTCCATTATAGTCTTTGTTTTCACTGGAAATGATTTTTGAGTGAGAGCAAGTGGTGAAGTTACATCCTAGAAGACAAAATTTTCCAAAAGCAGCTGACACTAAGTTAAAATTAGTAATCAGAAAAGCCTGGCACTGTGTTCCTTCTGGCAAATTCTGCAATTCTCAACACAATCGCCCTTGCTATTAATTGTGTTCTTGGTTATGCTGTACATCAAAGTCTAAAAGAACGTGAAACAGATGCACATTAAATCCTGTGCTACCTACGAGGAGCGTTTATTTGCCTGTGGATAAACCCCAACGAGGTAGTTTGAATCTTCCTGAGCGACGTCCCAGAGATTACTGATAAGCCAAGATCTTGACTTGGGTTGGGGAACCTTTGACTAAAGGAAGTGATAATCCAGCAAATTCTGAACCTTGTAATAAGAAATGCCGTAGCTTTCATAAAAGGTGATTTAATCATATTTTCTCCTGGCTTTATAATTTGTCAAATTCCCAGCTATTTATACAGTTTAAATACACACCAGATATATTTGCTTGAGGTATCTGTCAAAGGGCCTGAAAATTTCTTTGACCAAATAATTTGATTTTCTTTTTCAGCACTTTATTTTGCATTTAAGGTTATTTCATCCTAAGTTGGCATATCTGATAATTAGTTTTATTTATATCTTAATGCATGTGATCATGAACTGATTGTTTTTCAGTGGATCAAAACTGAGCTTCTACCTCAAGAGTATATAGATGCACAGTTTTTGTACCCTGCTGTCAGAAAACAGATCTCGGGGAACTCCTTCTTTCCCCATTTTAGAAGCATTTGGGGTGGGGGTGTTGAGTAGGAGTCCTGTGGCTTTTTATTCAGTTTAAAGCAGAGGGTAAATATGTGAACCATTACTCCATATGAGTAATTTTTCAAAAATGATTGCAACTGGAAAGATGATGTAGCGAAAAGGTTTCGTGATTGAACAGAATGTATCTTCCATTATCATTGTGAGCAGATAGTTCCTGGTGATCTCAGAAAGCCAATTCTGAAAATAAAAGAAGAGCCTCACATGTTTGAAACCTCATTCAATAGAGTACATTTAGTGCCTCGCCCCCAAAATCAAAATTCTTACAATTCACTGTTGCAGAATTTGACCAGGTCACCAAACTTGAAATCTAATTTAGAAAGTAAAATGAGCTCTTAAGAATGTTTCTTCATTAAATGGGAGCCCCTAAAGTCCCCTTGGCTGTATGCAAGGAATTGATTCTTTTTCCCTCCTCAAGGGGGTACTTACTATTTTTATTAATATGAAAAACAGATCCCCCCATGTTTGGGAACCTGACCCTCATAGTAACTTGATTCCATTAGCTGTAGTCACTTAAATGTTTTAATCCTCTGAAATAAGTTGCTAGTATATTTTCATCCTTAAAAAAAGAACACCATGTAGAAAGAATATTTGTATAGCAGGCCGTTAGGGACTATCATGTAACATGCGCATATATTTCATAATAAGCGAAAGCCTTTTTCAGAACTCTCAGCCACACTTTTTCTGGTGAAATATGTTCAGGTAGACTATGGGTAGGTTTTTTTTTTTACCTTCCACAGTGCAGTTCATGAGATGGCCAGGTAAATATATTACCAGTTCATGGCGTGTGACTGAGTGGCTGGGTCGTGATGCGAAGTATGGATGCCTTGGCACACAGTGAGCTCCATTGTCTGTGGTTTGGTACTCTGATTATCCCCTATTTTGGAGTTTCTTCAGGCACCATGAGGTGAGCCATCGCCAGGTATATTACATGCTGCTCTGTTTGGTTTTAGTTTTGCATCCTTTGAACCCAACAGAGCAGAATGTCAGAATGAGAAACAGACTGTGAGATTCCTTCTTTGTGGCTTCTTTGGGTCTTGCTAACAAGGATAACAATATATACACAATTGTGTGTGTGTGTGTGTATATATACACACACACAATTTATATATATACACACACACAATTTATATATAATATATATATCCTTGTTATCCTTGTTAAATTATAACCAGAAAGCAAAATGTAAGGCTCTGAATAGTCCATCACTGAGTGGAGTAGTCTGGTTTAAATAACATATATATAAATTTTATATATATACATATATATATATATAGTGTTTTAAAGCACAGAAACAAATCCAGAACATGTTTTTATTGAGTTTTAGGTTCGTGTAAGAATGTTGTAGAATCTGTATAGTTGCAAAGGTGCCCACTCTGGAATATTTAAACTCTTTCAGCATTTCAGAACCATAGGTAGTAGCCAAAGTGTTCCTTCTTGATTTCAGAAAAGTCTCTTTCTATCTCTCTCTTTTTTTAAGTTACAAAATTTTCTAAGTTCCTTTCAAATGTACAGAAATCTCTGGGGATTACTTTACCAATGCTAAGAGAAGTCTGAGTATATTTCTTAAGGAAGCAGCCCTTTTTGTTTAGCTCTGTGCCATTTTCAGACAGGAGTTAATTGGCAAATTTATTTTTCTTATCCCCTCAGGCACCACCAAGTCTGAAGATCGTGCTGCTTTGCTGAAGAAATTCAACGAACCTGGGTCCCAGTATTTCATTTTCTTGCTGAGCACAAGAGCTGGAGGCCTGGGCTTAAACCTTCAGGCAGCTGATACCGTGGTCATCTTTGACAGCGACTGGAACCCTCATCAGGTCTGCGTGTCTCTGACTTAGATGCCCGGGCTTCCCTTCTAGAGAGGAACTAAAAGACCAGCAGTTTCATCATTCACATTTATGGGCCAGAGCAAATTTCTAAAAGAGTGGGCCATTTTTCCAAAGGAAAAATAGCCCAGCATATTATTTTGGCTGTTTTCTTATCTCCCTTGGAGTATAGATATTGAGATGTCTTACTCATGCCTTTGAAGTGCCTCTGAAAAGCTCAAGCTTGGTGTAGAAAAACTTCATTTTTTTTTTTTTTTGTCTTAACTTCATTTCTTGGGATTGCCACTGAGCAAAGTACATTTGGTGAAAGATCAATCAAAATCATTCCAAAATGAAATGGCAACAATAGCAGCTCATGTTGATTGGCTCCTTCCTCTGTGCCAGCCTCTTTATGTGCTTTGCTTCATTCAGTTTTCATAACAACCCTGTGAGGTTGTTAATATTACTATTTGCTTCTTTACAGCCCCCCCCCCCAAAAAAAAAGCCTAGGAAGCTTTAGGTAACTTTCCTGAGGTCAAACAATAAGTATATGATAGTTAAACTTATATCCTATGTGTTTTGTTTAAAATCATCATCAGAAAATATTCTTTGGAGCATCTACTATGAAGTTCTTTTAAAGGAGTCCTTTGATGGTTAATAAAAAGACAATAGAAGGGGTCCCTTGGGGCACTGGTTTCCTAAATTATTCTGAGCAATTGTGTGCTTGCTTGTAAGATACTGATTGGGTAGAATGATATTCATCAGGATTTGATTCATATTGGAACAAATGTAAACTCAAAATAGTCAAAAGGGAAACAGCATTTCTCACATACAAATATGCATTGTACATCAGCATAACCCGGGCTTCTCGCTGTACCATGGTTACTTGAACTGTAAATATGCAGAGTAATACTGCCTCACTGGATCATTGTGAAGATTGGGTGAAGGAGTTGTTTTTGGCAGGAAGTAGGGTTCAGGGTGCATTAGAATTATGAGGGAGCTTTTAAAAAATATATATGCCTGCTTCCTGTTTCCTGTCAACCCATCCCCAATTTTGTAGGTGCTTCCCACCTACAAAATAGATGCTACAGACTTCTCTATATGTTCAAACACTCCTGGGAGATCTGCTGTAGGTTTTCTCACACAGCTGAGGTCCCAAGCTTTTGGGTGACCACCAGCATTGGACCACTGTGTATGCCCATTAGTCACTCTCTCTAGGTGAATACACTAAAGTTACTATCAAAATTTTCCAACCTTGAAAAGGGTTGTGAGCCACCAGCACAAAGTGTATTCGTTCCAAATCTTCAGGAAATATTTTATATGTTTTTACATCCCACACTGCATTCTAAAGCACAGGTAAAATTTGTATTCATGGGAGAGATCTGCAGTTTTCCTTCAGAACATTGTGAATTCAGTGTCCGTTTCACACACATTTGCTGAATGGCCGTTATGCCACAGGCACTGAGCTAGCCTAGAGGGGAGAAGACGTGATTCTTCTCCTCCTAGGGTGCACCACGTGGTTGGTTATTTAGATTACCCTACTTGCTGCTGCTTAAACCTTCACTGAGAAAAAATAACCTGTCTGTAGGTAAATGGAGAGTTCACTAGATTTTATCTTCTGAGATAAAAATTTCTAGGGCATCTCTGTTGTCCACCTTCATTGGTACAGTGCTAATTCTAAAAGCCAAAGGGAATTACTGTTTCTGGAAATGGTAATTTACCATAAGAAAGGATGCTGGGACATCTGTGCCTCTCTCTCTCTCTTGTTCTTGCTCTCTCTCTCTCTCTCTCTCTCTCTCTTTCTCTCTCTTTTACCATATTGGCTTCTGCATGCTTTGGAAAAAAAAACTGTAATTATTCTTTATCATGTTGAATCAAAATTAAGTCATATTGATGAAATAGGGGATTCACTTTATAAAGGTGGACAGATTAAATATAGAAGCCTTAAAGTTATTAATGGGAGGCCCTAGCTAGAAGCAAAGATAGAACATATTAATGTGGAATTAGCAATAAAATCCCTCAGGGTTACCAAGATGTTCGTATCCAAACTGTTGACTAGAAACATGGGTTGGTACTTTTATTTTTAACCAGTGGGACTGGAGCTATGTTGCTATAATAGAATGGTCAACCACAAAGTCACCTTGGAGGCCCTCTTCTCAGGCTGTTCTTATCTCGAGATATATTCATACCCAAATTAGTGTGATGAAGTTTCAAACCACTTAAGACCTCAGAAATATTGAGTAATCCATTCAATAATTATAGCATGTATTTCTTTGTCACAATATCCCTCCAACTGTTGACTATTTTGGTTTAGGGGCTCACAGGTTTACATTTCATAAACCTTTTCAGCCTAGAAATATTAATTTTTGTTACTTTCCAAATAGATAGATGGTCTTAACCACACAAAGAAACACCACTGCCACCATCATCAAAAAACAAAACTAACTGCACAAGCTCCCAAGGATTTAAGAACTCTGTTTTTCAGATGTTCCATACCTTCTGCTTCCTCATCTATTATACTCTGCTGCTACCTGCATCTTAGTGTTTTTGTGGTTTACCAATTTCTAGGACAGGGGATAGTAAACTCTGACTCACAAGCTGAGTCCGGCCCACCACCTGTATTTGTATGACCTGCAAACAAAGAATGGTTTTCACATTTTTAAGTATAAAAAGTAAATTGAAAAAAATATATATATATATATCAGCCTTTTGATGAGAATAGTTGCCCAGTGGAATATTGACTCTTGGACTCATCATGGAAAACCATGTCAGACCCCTTTTCTAAGAGGCAGTCACAGGTTGATGACACAAAACTTACCATCTTGACTGCTGCTTAGCCACTCTGGCGATGATATGTTGAGAGAGGGGATTGAACTAAGAGCTTGAAAATGAAGTTTACGGTCCCCGCCCCTTTGGATTTTAATTAACCTCCTCACTTTCTCCTCTTTGGAAAATAATCTAGTTTGGATGAGTCCCAGCTGTGTTCGTGGGTCAGCTGTCCAATATATATATATTAATTTATTTAAGTATCTTTTGAGGAAAAACTTTTTCCTAATTAGTCATTTGACTGTGAAGTTCCCTACAGCAAAGACAGATCTCCTGGGCAGACTTTGGCCTGTTGTCTCTTTGTGTGGTACGTAAGTGACCAAGAAACTCATCTGGTTAAGAGGATGGGCTTACAGCTGTGGAGCAGCAGCTCTGCAAAATTGGGTGCTAGGATGCAGGATGTAGGGATCAGACTTTTGTCCTAAAAATATACACGGATCTAGTGGGGGATGCATGGAAACAACTAAATAGGATTGGCTCAGAGACCATCACCTGGACCAGAATGAATGAAAGTAACATATCAAGAAGTTTTACTATGTGGCCTTAAAATCAGGTAACTCTTCTTCGTAGGTTTACAAAGGTTTTTATTTAAAGATTTCATTAAAACCATTTTCTTATTTGAATAATAGGGGTTAAAGCAGAAAAGAATTGTTAAACCACATGAAAGTAAAATGAGGAAAATTTAATAACACCTATAATCGTATTATCTGGAGATATAAACATTATTAATTTGTTGGTGTTTGTCCTTCCTGCCTTTTCTTGATATACATATGCACATATAAGATCATAATGTACATAGTCATATATAACTTGTAGTTTTCACTTATATCTTTGTGTCGTTAAATCTTCTATGGCACTACGTTAGTACATACATACAGTAGAAGACTGCAGTTTATTTAACCAATCTGTTGTTGAATATTTACTTAATTCTACTTAAAAAAAAAAAACATTATAAATAATATAAATAATGCCGAGAGGTATATCCTTAATTGTAAATCTCTGTGTATATCCATGATTATTTTCCTAGGATAAATTTCCAGAAGTAAAGTTTCTAGGTCAGAGGCTACACGCAATTTTAGTATATGTGCTGCCAAAGCGAACACTCCATACCCAATTTTAATACTTTTGATACATAGTGCCAAATTTCTATCCTAAAAAGGTTACCAAATAGTAGTACCCGTTTACTACTCCACTAGCAATCCTTTTCCTTCCCCAAACTAAAGACTGAATTTTTGATGGAATTAGGTACTAGGAAATTTGCTGTATGAGCAATCACTGTACATACGATGTATGTATTTATATATAATGTGTATATTTATAATGTATGTATTATTCAGTGATGTTTTAAAATCATCTTTAACACCTTAAACCAAAAGGAAGGTGCTTCTTGCAACTTAAAGCTAATTTTATAATGTATGTATTATTCAGTGATGTTTTAAAAATCATCTTTAACACCTTAAACCGAAAGGAAGGTGCTTCTTGCAACTTAAAGCTAATTGTACGTAACATCAAATTTATTGTTTTTTGCTTTGTTTTGTTTTTTTTTAGTTAGGGACTTATTCTGATGGCGAACCTAGGGACAGATAAGTATTTCGAAACCTGAGGTGTATTTCAGTTGGTTTAGCTAATTTAAACCCAGGTGTCCTCAACTAGGAATGACCTTGAATTTTTCCAAAGAAGATAGCTGTGTTATTTTAAAAATGTAAGCAAAATCTTCCATTAGTAAAGATGAATTAAATAAATAACCCTCCCACATTTCCCTCTTGGGTTGGTGACTTGTTTGCATGGCTAATACAGGTACATGGGCCCTCACAGCACATTGTTCTCCTCTGCAGGATCTGCAAGCACAAGACCGAGCTCACCGCATCGGTCAGCAGAACGAGGTCCGGGTGCTGAGACTCTGCACCGTGAACAGTGTGGAAGAAAAGATCCTGGCAGCTGCCAAGTACAAGCTGAATGTGGATCAGAAGGTGATCCAGGCGGGCATGTTCGATCAGAAGTCTTCAAGCCACGAGCGGAGGGAATTCCTGCAGGCCATATTGGCACATGAAGAGGAAAATGAGGTATAGAAAGCCAACTTTATGAAATCAAACAGTGACCTTTTGTCTCAGAGGATTAAGAGGAACCTCTGTTCTTTGAAGAATTTCCTGGGCTGGCGATAATTAAAATGAATAAATTAACTGCTATCTTACATCCCAAGCACAGAAAGCCTCTGAAAGTTATCCAAGAGTATCTTAAAAGCAGTTGCTAGAGGGACCTCAAGTTTTAGCCAGTAGATCCTTCTTTCATTTCTCCTGGGATGTGCAACCAGCATGCTTTATTGTACTGTAAATGCTGCTTTCCATGGGGCAGATAGAGAACCAAAGAGAGGCCACTTACAGGGACAGAATCAGCTAGATGAGACAAGACAAAGCTGACAGGGGCCCTCCTTGCCTTTTCTCTCTGCCAACTTCCAGAGCCCTCTGTCTCACCTTTTGATCAGAGATCACAGCATTTCAGTTTGTTTATAGGAGAAGCCTTCACAGCCTTGTGAAGAAGATAGTACCTGACCTGGTTTATATAGGATGCAAGGTAGCACAGAGCTCCCCAACTTTTGGAGGTTGAAGTCGTGGGGAATGCTAATCTCTCCCAGCCCTAAATCCTGCTAGGTGGAGCCTGGAGTGCAATCCAGTGCCACTTGCTTCTAGTTGTGAGCAGCCTTGCTGCAGCTCAACACCCCTGCCAGGTTATCAGTGCACCAGACATGTTACCATTTTCTGGGTGGCCTGTATCCTGATGTGAAGACGTTTGGCGACACTGATAGACCGCAATGAAGGGCTCTGGTCCTGAGTGTCTGAGGCAGCATAGGCTACCATCTCCGTGGTTGATGGGCCAAGAATTACCAGGGTACAAAGAACCTCGAAAGATTTATTGCCCACTTCCCATCGAGTTTGTTCTCTCTGAAGGTCAGGCCACTGTGGGCAGGCTTCTTACAAGAGAGCCTTTTCATCTTATGCATGAGGAAAGCCCAAGCCCCCTCGCCCCCGTTGCATAGGCAGTGAAAGGATAACATGGTTCTAGGAATAGAGTGGGCAAAGCAGGACATCTGCTCACCAGAAGATATGTGAACCAGACTCTTTGTACTGTGAAGTCTCAGCCCACTCCTAGCTAGTCTGTGTCTTTGGCAGATGAAATGTAATATTTAGACAAACTGACTTTAATCAATCTAGTGATGAACTAGAATAGATGATTTTTTCACATCAGTTTTTACTTTATTGAATTGCATTCATTTCTAACACAGTGCATGAAATGTTATCTTGGGAACCGACAGTCATCTCATTTAAGCTGCTACTACACTCACACCTTTTCTAGACCAAGCTGCCTCATTTTGAACATATGATTAAAGAAATTGGATGTTCAAAATTCTGGATTTTCCTCTTTCTTCCGTCTGCTGATACACTGAAATTCCCCATTTGTTTTTTAACAAGCTCACTCAGCGTGTGATAAAAATAATTTTGTAAGGTTAAGTTCTATAGTATATGCCCAGCTTTTAGAATCATTTTTTTTTAATGTAGAAGTCATAGCATAACATTTCTAAAACACTTGAGAATTATTGGTTGCTGAGGAATTTGCCAAGAGAGAATATACCTTGGTCTAACATAATATAAAATGGAAATGTTAGCCCTTATGTAATTGCTTTCTCCACTTCATTTAAATTAATTTAATAAAGTATAGTTTTGTAGGGGTTTTGTTCTTGATACCTTTTGAGTTGTCATATCCACAGATCTAACCATTAGCGTAATGCCCACTGAAACACATTGATTAAATATATCTTAAAGGCCATATATTTGCGGTATATGTGACTTCTATGGTCTTGCTCTGTACCTAGTCAACAAAATTTCACATACTCATATTTTTTGTAAGGCTTTGAAAATGAGCATTTATATTACAAATAAGATTAATAGAGTTAAAAGAATTAATGTTAGGCGCTTTTTCATGTAGCTTTCCATCTTCTCTGTGATGTAAATGTCACGCCCATTTTACAGATGAGATCATTGAGGCGGGGAGACATTAAGTAACTTGTTTTAAAAGTCAGGGAATTAAGGTACACACCCAGGAGAACCAGCATTTCTTATAGTGCACCACACTTCCTCCCTTAACAGATTTTGCTCTAGGAAGATGGTTTGAATAACTTGGAAAATACTAATGGCAAGTAATTATACCCAGCGACCCTTCTCTTTTCTTTCTGGCTTGAGAAATGGGACCCCCTGTGGCCAGGAGGACAGATCCACCTCACTCGTTTGTACCTTGCTCCAGCTGTCCAGTGTCTCTCCTAAAGCCTGTTAAATCTTTCTGTTTCTTGACCCCAGGAAGAAGATGAAGTACCAGATGATGAGACTCTGAACCAAATGATCGCTCGACGAGAAGAAGAATTTGACCTTTTTATGGTAATGTTACAGAAAATCAAGGAAACAAATACCTCGTTCCTCTGCCCTTTTTTCTATTAACACAAGACGTCTGGAAGCTGCGTGCCCTGGCAGAACTTCCTTTGTGAGGCCTGTGCCTTTCCTTCAGTTCAGAGGCTGCACACGGCTCAATTTAGCCTGCAGACATATTTTGTTTGGCCCACGCAGTGTTTTTGAAAATTTTGAATTCGTTGCCAACATAAAAAGAATCCTGATTTCTGGCTTCTCTTAAAAAATGAGAGTGGGCAATACCCAAGCCCACATCTCTATATGGACACAGTTGGCTAGAACTGAGTAGCAGCTGCATGCTATGAATAGGCCATGGTGGTGGTCTACAGCTTACCACTGACCTCCCCGCCACCTTCATTTCTAAGCCCAGATCAGCATCATTTAGGAAACCTGCCCTGCTCCTCTAGGCCCAGTTTAGAACTCTTCCCTAGCTGTCTCTTTACTGGATCAAAACAAACATGTTCCTGTGGGGGTGGGTAGATAGTAACTAAAACAACAGGGTTGTGCCTCTTTATGTTGAGGAGAGCCTGCTTAAGCAAATAGGAAACTTCCAAATGTACATCAAAATTGGTTGGATTTTACTGGTACAAAGTATGTGTAAAAGAACCTTGATATTTGAAGATTTAACGTCCATGGTTTCAGCATTGACACTTCATGATATGTGGTCATCTGTACTTTTGCCGAAACCTGAATTTGATTTATGTGTATGGCCTGCTACAAGGTCAGTATGGACAGGGAGCAAGCCCCTTGGCTAGTGAGAGAAGCTCTCAGAAGTAATATTTTACTGCGTTCTTAAGGCATTTGCTATAGTAATTTTATTTACCTCTGTATCCCCAGTGCTCCAAACAGCACATAGTTGTTGCTCAATAAGTATTTATTGAACTAATGATGGCATTTGCAAATTTCAGTCCTTGTGAAGACCTCAGCATGAATCAAGATGTATGAAGTTGTGAGGCTCCTCCCTTCATTACCTTCAGTCATTTTAATCTTTATAACATTGAGCCTGATTGTGGAGTGAGTGAATAAATATAAACTGAAACCCTGGTGTTTGAATGCTGCAGAACCCCAAAATCAGAGGTCCCAAATTTGAATGCCCTCGGGTCTCAGACACATAATTTGTATGAGTGATAAACAAGTAGATAGGGCTGAGTGGATGGTGGTGGGTGGAGCTGCTTTGTCTAAGGGCACACAGCTGCAATGTAGCCAGAAATTCCAAGTTTTGAGGAAAAGCTGGAAATCTGGGGTTTATATGCAGTCTCTGGATTTCAAAATGTTTGCAACTAAATTTAATTTTTTATTATTATATAACACTGCAGGCCAAACAAAACACGGCTATGGGCCAAATATGACCCACAGAGTTTGCAATCTCTGCCTCGTTATCCTTGACAATCTAAGAAGGGAACTCCAGCTGCATGGAGAATCATGTTATTTTTGTAATTTGGTAATTTTTGTCTAGGGAACAATGATTGTGTCCACACATAATGGTTCAGGATAAAAGACATTTAATTATTTCTCAGGAAACTTTTAGGTAGCCATGGGACTAACTCCTAACCTGGGATGTGCACATTTCCCACACTCCTAAATGAACCACCCTACCGAGGTAAGGCCGTTTTGGAGAGATATGACAAAAATGACGTTAACAGCATGGTCAGCATGGGTGTTCATACAACCTAAGTTTATGAGCTCATACTGTTGGTCACTACCTTTATAGATTATTCTTTACTTAGGGAGATTAGAGATACACCTTGGAAATAGACACCTTTCCTCTCCTTGAGGAACTTATTAAAATGTAGACTACTGGGAAACACTGAAGCAAGAGACCCTCTGCGTCCCTGGCTGATCACTGATTGGCAATAATTCAGCACTGCTGTAGCCTCAGATGCTCTTGAGACCCTGGGAAAGATAAGCTGCCTGCCATTATGCAAATTAGATTAGGCCCAGAGATGGACATTTCCATCTGCAGCCCCGAAATACTAGGAAAAAAGAACTCTTTTCTTACTTTTGGCCTCTGTATTTGTAGAAATTGAAAGCCTCAGAAAAAAATGTGACTGTCTGGCCAAGGCACAGCTTTCTTTTAATTTGAGAATGTTTTATCATGCAAAGAACAGACTTGGAACAGGTGAAGCTGGTTAGGGAACACCTTTTTGTACGTATTTTGATTTGTGAATGTTTTGCTTGTTTCTTAAAGGTTGACTTCTTATTTTTTGATTATAAAAATTTTTGGTTTGGTTTGTTTTTTTATTGTTTAATTAAATTTATTGGGGGTAACATTGGTTAATAAGATTTTATAAGTTTCAGGTATACAACTTTATAATAGAACATCTGTATATTTCATTGTGCGTTTCTTAGTCTTCTAACTAATCGGCTGGCTGCCTTTGGCCAATTCACTATTCATTAGCACCTCCACCAGGGGGCAGGAAATCAAATTTTAATCCTTGCCAGCTACTCTGAATAAAAAGTTTAGCGATAAACAAGAATGGAATGTGAGCTAGATTTGGATTTCAATATTTAAACTCTATATCTATTATTATAAAAGAATTCTCGGTAAAATTAATACAAACTGATTTAATTTTGTATCATAGACACTGTAGTTAAGTAACACACATTAAACAGATAAGTCTCTTTAAATTAAAACCTTACTCTTGAACATTTTTTTCTCTTTTTTCCTTCTAAAAATATGACTTCAGAAAAAGTTATCTCTGATACTGATTACCTATGAATTTTACCTAAAAAGATCTTTGACAGGTCAAGGTACATACCCGAAACATTTTGCTAACGTTCAAAAATTAAACTTTTAGCTGCTCTATTCCCTACAAAGGCAAGAAGTACTTTTAAAAATAATTGTTTATTATGGAGTTTTAAGACAAGCATATTCATGTAGTATCTGAATAATAAATTAGACTTACTTGAATATCAACTTCAGATTTTGTACTAGTATTCTGCAGAAATTTCTGAGAAGAGATGCAATCATCAGCATATTACACATTGCATCAACTCTTCCTAAAAGGGGCGGGGGAAACAACTGTTATTTTATATCAGCAAAGATTTATTTTCTCAATTGTGGACAAATGCATAGCAAGTCATTTTACAGGTTGTGGTATATATATAGATAATGGTAGCGGCCTAACCAAAAATTGAAGTGACTACATTTTGTCATCTCAGTGTAGCATATTAACAAATATATGTTTTTCTTATTAGCTATCTAACAACTATTAAGAGATCACCTTGAGAAGCCCCTCTTTAAATTGCACTGTTAACAAGGCATCCTCTGTGTGCTCATTACTAAGGTTTGGTGGATCCCATTTCTGATACTAGAGATTAGAAAGCAGGATTAAGAACAGCCTCTATAGCTAACTATAGCACATGACAGAACAGGATGGCCGCATTTATCTACCAGTGGGACTCCACCATGCTCCACGCCTACCCATCTTGGGAATATAATGATTTCCGAAAATGTTTAAGCATAGTTTGAAGGACTTTGAACTTTAATTTTTAAATATATTCTAGGGATCAAATTTGGATTTGAATAGAAATTAAATTTTGTTACCAGTTTTAGCTCTTAAGGAAAAATTGTATTGAATCCCTTTTTCAGTTCAGTAGAACCAAAGGAAGAAAGAGGGAAAAGGTAAATCATTTAATGGTTAATGATCTATTCACTTGTAGAAATGGTATATCTAGCTAGTGATGTATTTAACTAATGTGTATAGCAAATCAGTAGAGCTTTTATTTGCTTTTTTTAGCTATCAAATTGTTTAGTTACAGATTAAAACCATACACGTGGAACTTAACTTATTTACCATTGTACTAGAATTTGAAAAAGCAAGCAGGACATGGGGAAATATTCATTCGAAGGCTATGAAAGGCTACAAAAGGCCATCTCACTAATAACTTGATCAGTTGCGATGAGATTACATCAGGGGTATGTCTCTGTGGTATAATATTTTCATAAGAGCTAAACTTTTTAAAAGCTGAAGAACCAAGGGACATTCTTCTCTCAGAGCCCATGGTGTACTAAAAATTCAATACAGTCATGGCCGACTGACTAATCAAGCCATTTATGTGCCTACTCTGCTAGTGACACCCGAGTTGCTGATTTTTTTTCCTGGTTATTTAACCAAAACCATGAGCCCTATTGAGTAAAAAGGAAATTTTCTTAATGAACTTCCTTTTTTTATATGCTCGAAAAATACTTTTATGTCAGGACAGCAATGAATTATATAGGTGGGGCTCGTCTTTTAAAAATACATCCCCGATTTGAATCTTCTATTACTTCAGGGGAAGCTTTGTACACAGATGTGCTAAGAAAAGCAATTTTTAAAGAGCATTTTTTAAATGCATACAGAAATTTCAGTGATGGATACAGAAGAGGGGAGGAGATTTTACCTTGCAGATTCTCTGCCTGGACACTGTGCTTCAGGGATGGGCTAGAACAAGTCAGCCAGGAGCCGCCATGGGAAAAACTGAACGGGACCCTGCTGTCGTAGGAGGCGATTTGTGAAAGTTTTATGTGCTGTAAAGTCTGTGCTGGACAGAACCCCCTTTCCCATTGGTGAAACTTTTGTTAATATCCCCAGCGTATGGACATGGACCGGCGGAGGGAGGACGCTCGGAACCCAAAGCGCAAGCCACGCTTAATGGAGGAAGATGAGCTGCCCTCCTGGATTATTAAAGATGACGCTGAAGTGGAAAGGCTTACATGTGAGGAAGAGGAGGAGAAAATATTTGGTAGGGGGTCTCGCCAGCGCCGGGATGTGGACTACAGCGACGCCCTCACAGAGAAGCAGTGGCTGCGGGTAGGTGTGGCTTTCTTAACTGTCTCTGCTGGTGGAGTTTCTTGTTGGCTTGGAGAAATCAGGAGCTGAGATGAGAGCTCAAATTCTCTAAGGGACACAAGTTGACAGTAAAAGAGGAGATGGCCTTTGAACATAGATAAAGTCATTCTACTGTTGCAGTGGAGTCATTCTACATGTCAAGGCAGTGTCTTGAAATGTAATGAAGAGTTCTTTGCTGGAGCTCAGTTGGCCACTGGAAGCACAGGATTATTAGAGCTATGAGACCCACTAATGTTTTATGACCAATTACCTGGTCATGCCTCACTCTCTTGGAGTTAGAATCAAAATGTGGAAGGGGCCTTAGAGATCCTTTTAATTCCCCCCCCTCATTTCATGGATCTTTAATTGGAGTTTTACTTTTCCAAGTCCTGCAGAGATGGTTCAGGGACAGCAGTTTTCTAACTGCATTGTCATTTTATTAAAGCTGGAAGGTGACTCTGTACTCTCTTGGTTTTACAGACAAAACAGTTGTTGCCCAGAGAGGTTAAGTGACTATACAGGATCACACGGCTTTCTAGAAATAGCGGAATCAGTGAATGCTGTTGCATTGGCGTGTTCATTCTCAGTTGGATCTGATCTGTCCATCGCAAACAAAGACTAGGGTTTGGGACTTGGGTCACTGACGCTTAAAAATGTTTTTCTTTAGTTTGGGTCCCCTCACCTTTGGAAAATGTTGATTTCTCATTTTGACTGAAGAATGAAATCTCAGAAGTTTCCTTGGTGAGCACAGGAATATCAAAAGATTCCTAGGAGCCACATATGTGAATGCCAAGGCCAGTGTGAATCTTCCATTTGAATGTTTGGCCCTACTTTCTGTTAGTGGGATCAGACTTAGTACCTAGACAGACAGATCAATCTGGGATATGCATTCCAGGCAGGGCCAGTGAATGCATGCTGGAAATAGTAACACAGTTGGGTGAAAACCAAACAAAATAGAGGCTGTTGTTGCGAGTTGTTCATTTTATCAAAAGAGAATACAGTTCTCAAGCTTTGTAAAACATGGGTTTTTAGGACCCAGGTTGTAAGTAGGTAGGTGGGTAGAAAGGCAATGGGAAGTAGTTTGAGACTATGTGTCAATGGCAGACTGGTCTTGGCACCACTGGAGATGTGATTTACTCAGGATGTTGTATGATGAGAGAGACGTGATCTGAATTTTGAAAAGATTGAAGTCTGTGGTATTCTGTAAGGAGAGAGACTAAGAAGACATTGCTCATGTTTATGGTCGAATGACGGCTATGAAATATAACTTTTGTGTGATTGTTTTACTGTCATATCCAACTATTCCAGTGACCTCAGTATACAGTTTTATGGATTTCTTTTGTTTCACTATTGTGTGGTTATAGCTGTATAAGTAAGATTCATTCTATAATGTGAAGAGATTTGTGTTTATTGAATATCATTTCTGAGCTGATGAAAATCTATTCCCTTTTTCTTTTATTTTAGCAATAAATTAAATACCTGGAGAACTATTACAGGAGATGAGACAATGATCTAGGCCAGCCTTTTAAAGTCAATCTTTATATATGTATAATCTCCAGATATTACAAGCAAAATATTCTTGTTTATTGGGCAAGAATATAACTGAACTTTTCATTTTTTTATAATCATTTGGAAATGCTCTTAAGTAAGATTATTAATCTTAGAAAGTTTATAGGTTTAGAATACCTCATTTTTTTCTCTTTTCATTCAGTTTCTATCACTAATGATTAGCACAGTGCTTAGCCTGTAGTAGAGACTCAGTGAATGTTTGTGAAATGAAATTATAACCTTATAAGAGGAAAGTGGAAAGTTATTAACTTATCAGTAATGTTAGGATAGCATTTCTCCTTCTAGTGTATCTAGTATACCTTTTTTTAAATCTAGAAATGGAAAATAGTTTTTTTTACAAAATTAAGCTGTGAAATTGATGTTCATAATTTTCAACCTAAGATGTATTGCAAGATATCAATGTCACCGAAGAAGGATAAAACTGTTCTTAGTGTAGCTTTATTATTACTATGTCTTTTTCTCTTTTGAAAACTGGATGTCCATTTTTGGTATGAGATGGTAACTTGCTGTTAACAAGAACGTGCAATTAATTCAGAGTGCCCCCATGGCCTAAGCGTTCAAAATAAACGCTTACTGTCATTTGTTTTCTTGTTCACCCGTAGCACTCCTACTTAATATCAGTCTATTAAGCTTTTATGATAATAAAATTATATTCAAGGGGTTTCCATGGGCCTGGATATGAGATGTTCTCAACTGGCTTATGATTGAACACGTTGAGCAAACCCAGCCAACACAGCCTTGAAAGGGAATTTGGCAAGAACTGTCGTGTAAGAAATGCTGTAACAGGGCTAAAATAATTCTTCTTTTTCCTGGCAATGTTGTACAAAGCCTGCTTGGCAGAGGCACTGAAGATACATAGAATCCCAGAGCTGGAAGGCAGCTGAATGGAGCAGCTACCCATCCTGTGCTTAAATCACAATCTCTGTAGTGCCCCTGCCAAGAGGCTGGCCGTCCCTAAAGGAAACACTCTGCCTTCTTGTCTGCCTCACCCCTCCAGTTCATGGTCAGCCCGATTGTTAGTTCTTCCCCACGTTGAATGGAATCTTCTTTTCTTGTAGCTGCTCCTCACTGGCCTTGATTCCATTCCCTGTGGTGAACCGAACAATATTTTTCCTCTTTTTAGTATCACATCCCACTGGTTAAAATATTCGAGGACTTACGTATAGTCTGGAATGAACTTTCTACCCTCCTTTTTCTTTTAAACTTTTCTCAACCTTCAAGGCCCAGTTCAGTTGCCCCCATTTCTGTGATGCCTTAGCAAGTCAATACTAATCGCACTTTCCACTATATTCTCATTTTTCTCTGCTTGTCCTCTGTCACAGCTCAAATCCAGTGCCCTGGTTTTCTTGGTAGTTATCGACATTCCTGCCTTCCTGACTAGTCAATAAGCTGAATCTTGCTAGAACTTATATCTTCCGTGTCCAAATAGTAATTGCCCATTGATTGCCAAATTGAAATAGCACCGATTGATGTATAAGAGTGTAGCCTAGGGTAACGTTCACTGCGGCAACAGATGAAACTAAACATGCCATATTTATGGGCCTATCTAAACAAATAAGTAGTTTTATTTCTCGTGTAAAAGTCCAACGTGGGCACTCCTGGTTGGTGGGGGCAGCTATTCTCCATGTATCCTCTCCATTCAAAGATCCAGGCTGCCAGAACCTCTGCCAGCTTAAACATCCTCACCCCAGTGAGCTGGAAGTGGGGAAAACAGCATGGAGTGCTAGGTGCAGAGTTCTAATGGGCTAGTTCTAAATGGTTCCATATCACTTTGCTCACACTCCATTGGCTAGAACTCAGTCATGTGGCCACCCTAGCTGTAAAGAAGACTGGGAAATATGGTCTGGCTATGCGAACAGAAAAATGAGATTTTGGTGACTAGGTAGCAGTCTCTGCCTCAGATCTCTTAGGTTAAATTTAAGTCATAGGATATAGCCACTTTCTTTAAAACTTTTATTATGGATTCATCACAAACAGGTTTTATTTTATAATCATAGTATACTAAAAATTCCCACAGTGTCCTTTAGACAATCTGTTTAGTTGGAAAATTTAAAAAAAAAATTTTTTTTTCTTGTATTTGTAATGTTTTAAATGAGAAGGATCATAATTTCCAACACAGCTCAGTTTTTTTTGTTTTGTTTTGTTTTGTTTTGTTTTTTTAAAAAAGGTTTTTAGGTCATTTTGAAATTCCTGTTTCCATTGAAGAAACTTAAATTTCTTTGGTGTTAGCCAGTCTCGAGTTAACGTCATCTTTTTTGGGGTAGTCAGTTCAACATTTATGTACCCTACGGGCTGTTTCTCTCTTCTCCTGGGGCCTCCTGTCCCATCATCCTTCTTAGATGGTATCTGGATAAAGGTGAAAGCTGGCATTCAGGGTGTACACCCTGGTTCTCCCACTACACTGTGGGTCTCCTCTGGACTCATGCAGGGCTACTGGTCTGTCCTGTGTCTGGATGTCTTGACCTATATCTGGTCCCAACCTTTTGGAGACTTTGATGACAGTTGCTGTTGAAGGCTGGGGTCCAGGCCAGAGTCTCCAGTGGGCAGCTTTTCTGCACTCTGAAGTCACGTGAAAACCTCCAGCCTCTCTGGTCTCATAATGCTCTCAGCTCTTCTTTGTCCTTTTTAGGGATCTGCAGACTCTTGGCTCTTTCTTCACACTGTGCTGAAACATACAGGATAGTCTAGCTCATTTTCTTAGAACTTGCTAAGTCGCCACCAAGGAGATGGTCAAGCCTGAAGCTTCTAAAATCTGATGGTTGGGCAGGTCAGGGAGCTCTTTCAAACAAGCAATACAAAAATGTCTTACTTCTGCAAATTCCGTAAAAGTATCTGACCACATGAACACATAGTGAAGACCCTCCCAGAGCCTTGGAAGGAGCTTGTGAAATGAGAGTCCTAAAGCTCACACGTCATTACTTTCACAGTAAATCTACCTCTGGGCATTTTTAGGGCCTCATTCCTCTTGCTCCCTGCACCCACACCCCAATGGGTGAGTATTCCATTTCAGCCCCATTTAGATGTACCATAGTTCAGTTCCAGAAGTAACTACTCAGAATTAGCATAGACCCACAAGGCACAAAGGATTCAAAGTTCCCAATAAGATTGCACTTACTTCAGATACCAGCTGTAAGTTCTAGGCCAGATGTACTACTTCTGACTGACTGGCTATAAATTCAAGGCTTCTCGTGACCCCCTCAGGTTTGTTAATTTGCTCTAATGACTCACAGAACTCAGGAAAGTGCTACTTGTGATTAGAATTTTGTTATGAAGGATGCAAATCAGGAGGACCAGCCAAATGAAGAGGTAGATACATAGGCCGAGGTCTGAAGGGGACACAGTTTCTCTGCCCTCTCCTCACGGAATCAAGGCACGTCACCCTCTTGGCACATCAATGTGTTCACTAACCAGGA